CTGTGCTGCAGCTGCACTTCGCAACAGCTTCGGGCTCCACCTCAGCTGAGCCCTTGGTCCTAACCCAGTCCATCATTTATCTCTGAGCTCCCAGCACTGAGGGCTTATCTTGTGTTTATGAAAGCAACTTTCTCCTTCACAGGAGCTGGGAGGAGTTTCTAGGCTGTTTTGTTCCTTTCTCTGCATTGTGGTCCACTGCTCCAGCTTCTCTGTAGCTTCTAGCTTTTCTATCCATTCCTTTCTGATTCCTGTCAGTGTCCTTTTTTTCCTCTTCACCAAGTTGATAATCTCCACGGTCTAGATTCCAGATCTCCAAGAGGGTTAATTTGACTGCTGATCACTAGTCTGCCGTTTTTCAATCCTCTTTTTTTGTGTGTGAGAGGCAGGATATGTGCACACACGTTTTGTGGTGTCTTCTATATGCCAGGCGATGGCTCTACCACTGAGCTATAGCCACAGCGATGTCGTGGGTCAAATACAGTTTATCTTAGGAATACAAGCCTCTTCATCTTTCACAAATCAACATATCAACAGAATAATAAAGAAAACTTTCTTATTTATTTAGGGTACCGGGAATTGAACTCGGCACCTTGCACTTGCCAGGCAAGTGCTGTACCCCTGAGCTATATTCCTGCCTTCTTATCATTTTAAATTCCTTCATGACAAATATCAACAAATTAATTTCTTAAAAAGTAACTTGAAAAGTAGTAAAGACTGAAATAATTTACCCCAAAATTAGGGGAGTTGGCTCAGATATTCACCATTACAGTGCCAACTCACCCTCTTTCAAGGAGATCCTGGCCAGTACAGTGGGCAGGAAAGGAAAAAGGTGTCCAGAGAAAGGACAACATAAAACTTACCTGTTCACAGATGTTGGGATTATTTCTGTAGAAAATCCCTAACCAGTATTTTAAAATAAATCTCGTAGAACAAACAAGTAAGTTTAGCAAGATTGTAGGATATAAAGTCAGTATTTAAAGGTTAATTGCATTTCTTTATACTAGCAGTGAACATTTGAAATTTACAACATACCTTTTCATCTAGAACAGAGAAAAAGGAAATCTGAGATATACTCCAGACTGTCTGTAAAGTTTAATACTGAAACTCTTTTTGTATTTTTGAGACAGGATCTTGTTATGCAGTTCAGGCTGACCTTGAGCTCACTGTGTAGCCCAGGCTGGTCTTGAACTCGCAGTGATCCTCCTGCCTCAAATTCTCCTGCCTCAGCCTCCCGAGTGATGGGATTACAGGTGTGCACCAGCATGCCCAGACCAAAACTCTTAAAATGTTGATGAAATCAACGATAACCTAAACAAATGCAAATACTATGTTCATAGATTGAAAGATTAAACATTGCTGTCATCCCCAAACTGATTTGTAGATTCAGTGCAATTCCAGTAAAAATCTAAGCTTTTTTTTTCTTTTGAAACATACTGTGTAGTTCAGGCTGGCCTTGAACTCACTATGTAGTTGAAGCTGGCCTCAAACTCACAGCAGTCCTCCTGCCTCAGCCTCCCAAGTGCTGGGCTTATAGGCATGTGCCTCCATACCCTGCCTAAGCATGGTTTTTAATAGACATTGAGTTAATTCTAAAACGTACACAGAAATAAAGAACAAATACAATAGCCAACACAGTTGTGCAAGAGAAAAACAAAACTGGAATGCTCATGCTTGTAGGACTTCTTACAAAGATCTATAATAGGGTAGTGTGGTTAAAAAATAGACTTGTATATCCCTGGAACAGAATAGAGTTCAGAAGTAGACCCACACATACGGGGTTTTGGACAAAGATGTGCAGGCAGTTCAGTAGAGAAAGCATTTTCAGTAAATGGTCATGGATCTGTTGTATGGGCATATGCAAAAAAAAATTGGAATTCCATATGTACCTTACAGATTATATAAAAATTAACTTGAAATGGATCAGATAACTAAACGTACATCATAAAATTGAAAGTTCCAGAAGAAAACAGGAGACAATATTTAACACAAAGCTAGACAGACTTTTCTTAGGTTCATTATTAAAACTCAGTTGTGAAAGAAAATTTTTGTGGTGTGACTCAGATAGAGACCTTAACAGGCATGTGTGAGGACCTGGGCTCAATCCTGAGGACTACAGAAGAAAAGTTGACAACTCAGACTACATTAAAAATACTAAATTCTATTCATTGAAAGACGCTATTAAAAAGACCAAAGTCAGGGCCTGGGGTATAGCTCAGCAGCACAAGCACAAGGTCCCGAGTTCAATTTCCAGTACCAAAAAAGCAAAACAACACAAAATAAGAGTTCAACACCAGCCTGATCTGTGTAGCTAGTCAAAGACAAGGCTGGGGGATCTGAAAGACTGACTCAACAAAACAAAACCAAAACATCCCAGGAGTTACAAAGTTTCCACTGCAGCTACATCTAACTTCAAAAAAACAACAAACAAAAGTCAGGCGTGGTTCCAGCACTTGGGAGGCTGAGTCAGGAGGAGCTCTGTGAGTTCAAGGCCAGTCTGAACTACATAGTGAGACCCAATCTTAAAAAAAAAAAAAAAGGTGAAAGATTTATACCATCTGAAGAAAAGCCACAAGTTGCCAGAAGATATTTCCAGATCAAGTGTGAGAAAGAAATTGTATTTATGTACATAAAGAGTAACAAGAAAACTCAATTTTAAAATGGAAAGATTAGAGCAGCCAGTTGAAAAAGAAAAGGTATATTCATTTCAAATAAATATATGAAAAGTTGGCAAGCATCATTTGAAATGAGAGTTTAGAAACTCATGGTGATACCACTGTAACCTTTCAAAGAAATTGTATTTTTGGCTATAAATAAATTACCCCCAAACTTCATTGCCTAAAATAGTAGTGATTTATTCTCTCAGTGTTCTGAATCCCAGAAGTCTGAGATGAAGATGTCAGCAGTGCTGCATTCCTCCCAGAGTTGCTAAGAGAAAATTGTTCTTGCTGTTCCACTTCTAGTGAACCTTGGCATACTTGGCTTGTGGCCACATATACTTTGTCTTAGCATCTTGCCTGTGTCTTTCTTCTCTTGTAAGGACGCTTGTGATGGCATTTAGGACCACCTGCATAATCCAGGATAATATTTCATCGTGATATCCTAAATTAATTAACATCTTCAAAGAATTTTTCCCACATAAGGTGGTATGTACAGTATCTGAGGATTAAAATGTAGACATTTCTTTTGGGGAGCCATCATTTGCCCTACTACGTGGCTAAACCCAAAGAACAAAATGGATATTACCTACTGCTGGTAATGATTTGGAGCAACTGGAAACCTCACACATTACTGTTGGAAACACAAAGCGCATAGCCACTTTGTAAAAAATACTTGGCAGTTTCTTAAAAACAGACACATATTGGTCAGGAATTTCCCTACTGCATATTAAAATGCACTATTTTTATAATAAATACGGCACTTCAGTGCCAGTGTATTGTAAAACACCATGGATATTCACTGCCGTATTTAGGGTAGGTACATAAAATGATGGCCACTAAAAGCATATATTAAATCACTGAGTAAAACATAGGAATAATTAGGGGATTTTAATATGTAGTGTATTTTTTATACATAAAAGTGAAGAAAGACCAGTTCTAGAAAAATGGTTAAGTGGCAAAATTAGGCTATACTGGCTATTTTACAAAAAGTAAATTCTGGTTAGTTAAATTTTAAAATACTAGGAAAAATTACAAATATTCTAGAATTATGGAGTTATAAAGAACTTGGAAGCATGGCTGCCTTGATAGAAACTTTAATGAAGAAGGTTTGGCTACATAAATTGTGAGGACCCCCTACTTTTTTAAAGTACTGTATTCAAAGTCAGAGGCTCTTTCTGTTCTCTTTTCCCAGTAGAGTTTTTGAATGCTGTTCTCTGAGCCCTCTGGGTTGGAAATCCTTCACACTTGGGGATATTTTCCAGCCACAGTCACAGGTCAGCACTCTCCAGGAGCTCACTGTGAGGTAGACAGTGTTCTCAGCTTTTTGTCTGCATTAGCCTGGCTCTCACAGCAGCCAAGGAGCAGTGGTCTGGAGTGGCCCCATTTTCAACATTACAGTTAATAGTAAGTTAAGAGGCTGGATTTGGGCTCAGGCAGTCTTGCTCCAGCAGTCACACTATTAACCTCTATTTTGCACTACTCTGAAGTCAACACAGCACTTGCAGGTATATCTTTTTATTTAAACCCCATATTCCCATTTTTAGGCCTTAACATTGATGTGCTCTTCCCCTTCAGGTCTGTTTCCTGCCCCCACTTTGAGAACCCCTGTACCCTTGTAGTCACTAACACCAGTTGGGACTTGGGAGTCTCATTCTACTGTAATGGTTTTCTTAAAAGCCATGGGTCATAGTGACTGGGTTTTGTATAGAATAGTTTAAAGCTTTTTAACTGGAAATAGTGTTTATTATCCAGGAGTGACTTTATGGGACATACATAGATCCGTTTGTTACTAGTATCCCAAACTGAGAGACAGTATGATGTGCTCTGTAATTTAGGGATTATACCTCCATCTGTTTTCCAAATGTTCTTGTTAGAGACTTGCTATTAGTATCATAGTTACAAGGAATTACGAGGGTTAAGAGAATGTAAAGAGATCACATAATTTCTTATGAGATACTGTAGCCCTTTTGAATTTGCAGTCATGTTAGCTGATCCCCATGAAGGTTTATTATACCATCTTTGCATATGTGTGTGTGTGCACTGGGGGAGAGGGGCGAGTACAGGGGATTGAATGCACCCTTACCCACCCCACAGGATTTTGGTAAGTTGCTGAATTGTACAGGCTGACCTTGAACTTGCAGTCCTCCTGCCTCAATCCTCCCAGAGTGCCACCAAGCCTAACCCCTCCCCCTTTTATTATATAGTCTGTGTCCCTTCTTGAAGCAGGAAATATTGCTGTTAATGATTATATAGTTACATAGTTAAGGATTTGCCTACATGGTTAGTAGGGAGCACTCTAATTTATTCTGAAATTATAATAACTAAAGTTACCTTTGTTTCAAGATTTGAAGGCCATATAGAGATCTGCCCACCAGGCATGAGTCATTCGGTGTGTTCAGTCAACAAGAGTGTTCTAGAAGCCATCAGAGGAAGACTTCGATCTTTTCATGAGCTCCTGCTTGAGCCACCCAAGGTAGGTGAGCTGTACCAAAGCATGGTTGGCCAGCCAGGAGTTTGGTGTGAGCAGTTGCTGAAAAGCATATGGGCCTTGGAGTAACAGAGCTGGCTATGGTCAGCATGTGCAGAATATACAAAAAAGACACACTGCCAGTGTTCTTACTGCTTTTTTTTTTTTTTTTTTTCTTCTTTTGAGATAGTTTTAAATTAGCTTTTATCTATATAAATGTTATCTAAACTGATACAGGAGATGGAATTACACAAAATATTTATATGCTTAGAAAACTCAGGGTTTTGGTCTTTGCTTCTATAAATTTGTAGGTCCATGTAGAACAGTAAATCAAGCGGTTTTCTTGTAGCATGTTCTTTTCACATCTTTAAGGTAAAGTTAATTTTTCAGGCTTTGATCTTTGAAGTTTTATTTTCTTATTGAGCATAGAAGCAATCTGGTGGACAGATGGGCTTACTTAAAAAATATGAGACTGGGGTTTTAGTGTACAATATGGAAAAGCCACGGCTTGGGGCACTAAGATTTTCGATGGAGAGTATCTGCCTGCAAATTGTGGAATGCGTGTGGATTGATAAAGACTAGGAAAGAGGGTGTCAGCAGTCTGTAAGTGGAAATCTTCCTTATGCTTGGTAAAGATCTAGGGGAAAGGGGATGAGCAGTCTGTGAGAGGATTTACCTATACTCCATGCCACTCGGCTTGGGCAGAGATGTAGATCAGGGTAAGAGATGTGGCCCTGTGAGAGTTCTGCTCTTGCACCAGTTCCCCCATGTTCCTCTCTGCTTTTGCCCTACTTGGTTAGGTCCAGTTTCCTATGTGGTATGTATCTCCATGTCTGTCTATTCTGTGGGTTGCTTCTATACAAGATGTTTTCTGTTTGCCACTTGGAGGAGGGGCAGCATAGAGTAATTTACATTTGTACTCCAGGGAGTCTAGTTCAGCTTCCAGGTTCTCCCAGGTGCCAAGTGCTACAGGGTTCCCCTCTGCACTTACGATGTTGATGCTCACCTCAGGGAAATTCCCCCTGTTGATGTTTAACAGTTAGTTGTGGCATCCTTGTGCTAGTTCTAGAAACAAGAATTGGGAGGTAAACAAAGAAAAAATATTTAGGACAAAAGGAAAGAATATCACAAATAGAAGATTAAGGTGGGAGGAGGTGTGTGATGAAAGGTCCACCTGTGTCATAGCTGGACCCTAGTAGGAGGAAACATGGCAGTATCTGATTCTTCTTGTTCTTTAATCAAAGTGAGGGAATATCTCCTTGGGACTTCTCTTTTATTCCAAGGATGAGCAGTTGTTCCTAACTTTATATTGAGGTGTATGAGTAGATCCATGAAGATTTTTTTTTTTTAAATTTTGCTTTGCTTTTGCTTTCCTCTCCTCTCCCCTCTCCTTTTTCTTTCTCTTTCCCTCTTTCTCTGTCTCTCTCTGTCCCTCTGTAACCCTCTCTGTCCCTCCCCTTTGTTCCCCTCCCTTCCCTTCCTTATTTTATGCAAGCAGGCAAGCACTCCACCACTGAACTATGTCCCCAGCTATCATGAAGCTTTTTAGAAAGTCAGAGCTGTCTCACATGAAGTAACTCTGTAACTTTACAGTCCCATTGGGCCTCAGGAGGGAGGGGAGCCAGAGGGTATGAGGGAGTGGTGTGAATGGACCTTCAAAAGGGAAGTCTCACTATTCCACTGTAATTTGCTACTCTCTTCTGCCAAACCTTGAAATTTCATAGTGTTTTCCTCTGTTGTGATTTCAAACTATAGAAACCCTCTTCATAGACAAGAACAGGTTTAAGTTGATGATGTTTCAGGTTTGTGACTAGAGGCAACATCTGAGTTTATTATTTGTATCATGGATTTGACAAAAACTGAGACTGTTTTCCAAAATTGCCTTCTTTTAGTTTGTTAGATTTCTGGTCAGAATTTGAAAGATTCTAGTTCCCCTTCCCCGTGGACTTTTATAACTTCTGCTTTCTCCTCGTGACAACTTTGAATATTAGGACCAGGGCTACACTGGATTTCTTATCTAGGGAAGTTACTTGATCTTTCTTTTTCCTTTGTGGTTATTTCATCATCTCTTGAAGATAATAGCAGAAGGTGTAGATTTGCTTTTAGGCATAAGATTCAGGCCAAAATTTTTGTGGGGTTAGTTAGCCTAGTGCTGTGTCTCAACACATGCAGCTTTTGCTTGTTCCTTTAACTGAATTTAATTGGAAGTTTTTCTTCCTCAGAAAAGTGTGATGAAGACTACGTGGGGTGTATTAGATCCTCCTGTGGGGAACACCCGGTTGAACGTGATCAGGTTGATATCCAGCCTGCTTCAAACCAATACCAGCAGTATAAATGGGGACCTTATGGAGCTGAACAGCATTGGAGTCATACTGGTGAGATGATCCTTTGTAGACGTTTGACATAAGTTTTGGATGCTGATAATTGTTCAGGAATCACTTATTGTTGCTGTGTATAAAGCATTTCAGTGAAGATTAGACAGGTTTTCCCTCAGGAAGCCCAGTCTCGTGCCAGTAGTGCCTGCCAGCTGCAGCGTTGGGTTTCTGTTCAGAATTGGCAGAAAGATACACCTTCATCTTTCCATGGGAATATCTAATGAATCTAAGACTGCCTAGTATTTATAGTTGAGCCTCCATTCTGCTTCCAGACAGCTGGTGGTCTGCTTGTCAATGGGAGGGAAGAAGATAAACAAGCAATAATTTGGGCTTTCCCCTTTGATGATGGTTTGTGCCTGAAATGTATTGGCTCAGCTCTGCATCCCATGCTTGCTCTGTCTGTTCCGCATCCCCAGCACAGGGAATCATGAGGATTAACAGCAGTTTTCACAAGCCATCTCGTCACATCATACATTTGGAGAGATTTTGGGGTGTTTTAGTGGACATCTTTGCTCCATGCAAGATGGGCATTATAGCATGTATTTTAGATACACTTCTCTCGGGATATACTAAGTATAAAAGTGCAGTGTATGAGAGTATCTGTTTTTGAGATCATCTCTGGAGAGTTAATACATTCTCTCGGTACTGAGCAAAAAAGTCAAGATTTGAGCTCGCCTAACTTGAAACCTTACACACCATCATCCATGATGCTGTTCTTCCTAGCATCACTGAGATGTTTGGAGTTATATTTCAGCGTCTGCTTAGGTGGTGTGCCAATCTAGAGGGTGGAAAACGGGAACAATTTGGAACAAATTATATCAAGTATAATTTGAAAAACTCTTGTGCTTCCAGGAGATGCACCTGTCACCATCTTTCATACCTCATTTGGTTTTGCTGCTGTTTTAGAAGTTTTTAAGTGCTGCAGTGGTTATTCTTTGTTAAATTACAAGCACTTGCAGGTTGGGAACTATGTTTTTGTCCAGCTCTGTTTCCCACATTACACCTAGCACAGTGCTCTGCACAAAAGCCATTAGTAAATATTGTTAAATCAAAATGGAATTCCTTTTTTTTGGTATAGGGAATTGAACTTAGGACCTTGTGCTTGCCAGGCAGGCACTGTGCTGCTCCACTATATCCCTGGCCCTGAAAATTTTACAAGTTTCTCTGAAACTTGGGAATTTTACAAGTTTCTCTGAAAATTTACTACACTTAATATTTGCATTAGTTGCTTTGAAAACAAGGATATTTCGCTGTCTCTTCATAATTTTTTATTGGTTTCTACTATATTCTGTACAAATTCTGAAATGTGGAATGAGCAGATAGGATGTTTAAGATATGAAGTGGTATTTCAAACCCCAAAGCTCACGTTCTTTTTAATTAGTCCTTTTAGTCTAAAACACATCATTCTTAGTTTATTAAATCACCCTGTAAATGTATTAAAGTACTGGCTTGAACATTGAGGTAACTGAACAAAACATGGTTTTTCTTTTGTAGGACATGTTCTTTAAATATACATGGAATAATTTTTTGCATACACAAGTGGAAATTTGTATTGCACTGATTCTTGCCAGTCCTTTTGAAAACACGGAAAATGGCACAATTACTGATCAAGATTCACCTGGTGACAATATATTATTGAAACATGTAAGTTTAATTGGTATTATTTTGCTTCAACTATTTTCTGGTTATAGTAGTTTTTCATTTTAATATGGAATGACATATAAGGACAGATTAAGTTACATTTTAGAGTACTGAAATTGAACTGTCATACGTTTATTGCATTTTTAACCTATTGATTCTATGAGTCAAATCCTAACCAGATAGTCATTATATGAACTGACTTTTAAAAATAAATAACTGGGCATGGTGGCATATGCCTGTGGTCCCAGCTACTCAAGAGCCTGAGCCAGGAGGATTGCAAGGTTAAGGCCAGTGTGGACAACTTAGCGAAGTCCTTTCTCAAAATAAAAACTAAAAGAGAGCTGGGAATGTAGCATAGCACTCTTTAGGTTCAATCCTTGTTACCACAAAATGATGATGATGATGATGGTGATGATAATAAAAGTGGCCACTTCTTTGGTAAAATTAATGTGTTGGAAAATATTACACCTTTTATATTTAAATGGTACAGAGAACATTGTAACAGTTCTTAGGCATACTAGAATTTAATTTCTGGTGCTGAATAGATGACTTAAAGTTTGGAGGCATGAGTTCTGTTGATGTTAAATGAGGCTATTTTGGGGTCTTCTGTAAAATACACAGTTATTTTACTAAGTCAACCTTCACGTTTTCTTCAGAAGTTTTTTAGTTTCAGGCAATTTCTAGCTCATATTTGATTTATTCTAAAACCTGGAAGATAGAAAAGGCTAGGTTGGAATAGCCAAGTAGTTAGGGAAAGTTAAAGACATCTGAAATAAAGTGGCATTACATATTCCAAGATTATAGTCCACAGCAGTTGTCATTGACTTGCAGGATTTTGGCAAGGCACACCTGTTTTTACTATTAGCATAATAATATTATTGCATGTAGAAATATTTCTGACCTTTAGAAATTATAGCTATTGCTTTACATTCTAAGTTGTTTTGCTGAGGTGTAATTTTCTTTATTTCATTTTCATTTTGGTCTATACTTCTGACCAGATTCTACCAGATAACAAATCCTGGCGTTGCCTCAGGTTGGCTGCTCACTTGTAGCAGTACTTGTAGCCATGAGCTTTCCAGTTGATGCTCTCTGAGGTGTGAGTCCTGTTCTGAATCCCTGTAGTGTTCGTAGGGTCTGGGACTTTCTTTCTCTCTCTTTTTTTTTTTTTTTTTGGTTTTTCTCCGGTACTGGGAACCGAACTCTCGACCTTGCGCTTGCCAGGCAGGCACTTTGCCGCTGAGCTAAATCCCCAGCCCCTGTTCGTAGGGTCTGAAGTAACCTTACCACCGCATTGTATTTGGGTTGGCCAGTAGCTCAGAACTACATGTAGCTTTCTGTGTTATGCGTACCGCTGTTCTGTTAAACTAGAGCTCTATTTCATTTCAAAGTTTTAATACTTTGATGTTTATATAAATGTTAACTGGAATATTCTTTCTTATTTAGCTTTTTCAAAAGTGTCAATTAATAGAAAGAATACTTGAAGCCTGGGAAATGAATGAGAAGAAACAGTAAGTAAATTTTTATGAAAAGAATTCATTTTGATTTAGGATTTAGAAAATAGTGTATTCCCCACACTCACAGACCCTAGTTAGAAAAAATTAACTTTACAATGTAACAGACATCTTTCTAATAATATATATTTGGATATTTAGATACTGCAGAGAACATTGTAATAATTCTTGGGCATACTAGAATTTAATTTCTCTTTCTCCTTCCCTTTGGTGGAAATTTCTGTCTTGCCTTTGGAAACTCCCTGGTCCTTTATGAAAGGCTGTTTTTCTGAGAATGATCTGGAATGGAATGAAAAAGAATCATAAAGTTAAGTCCTCCTTGATGATGGTTAAACTTGGCATATTTGTCATTATCAGTCTACTTAGAATAGAACATATTGGGGGCATGTTTTCAACGTAGAGAAGAGTGCTGCATGCATGGAAGTAAAGGGAAATTTTACTTAATATTTTCTTTAGAAAATTTGTTAGCTGATAGACAAAATTACATGAAGCATTAGTTGTACAGTACATGTAAGTAGCTTTTGTTAAGTAGGACTTCTTCATTTGCTGTTGTCTATAGCAGGCATTCTTCTTTAATGCCAAGGGAACTTGTATGCCATGTCATGAGTTCTGCAGCGGGTGGCATAGGGTAGATCTGAGGAATCATTTTCAAAGTATGCTTCATGTATGAGTATGAGGTTTTTGTTTTTAAATTGACACATAGTTGTATGTATTCATGGAGTACTGTGTGATAATTTGACTCAGGTATACAGTATATAAAGATCATGTTGGGGTAATTATCTTATGTTTGTTGGGAACCTTCAAATTCTTATAGTTATTTGGAGATATAAAAGTTGTTATAAACTGTTAGCATCCTACTCTGCACAAAACACTAGGACTCAGTCCTTCAAACTGTTCTTCTTCCCTCTACCTTCCCAGCCTGTAGTGACTATTATTGGGCTCTTTACTTCTTGAGATCAACTTTTTTAGCTCCCGCATAAGACCATTCTGTATTTATCTTTCTGTACTTTGTCCTTATTTCACTTACTATTCTCTGGTTCTATTCATGTTGGGAAATGGCAAGATTTCATCTTTTTTATGACTGAATAATATTCAGTGCACACACTGAATATGTGTAACATTTTCTTTTTCTTTAGTCTGTTGATGGACATACGGTGATCTATATCTTGCTGTTGTAAACAGTGCTACAATAAGTATGGAGTATAAATGTCTCTTCCTCCTAGTGGATTCCTTTAGATAATACCCAGTAGTGGGATTGCTGGATCATAACAGCAGTTCTATTTTTAGATTTTTGAGGATCTACTATATTGTTTTCCATAATGGCTGTATTAATTTACACTCCCAAGAACAGTGTGTGAAAGTTCCCCTTTCTCCACATCATTGACAGCATTTATTTTTTTAGTTGACTTCCCTTTACCTTCAGGATATTAATTACTTGTTGGGTATATAGTTTATGACTGTTTTCTCTGCTTCTGTTGTCTCTTCACTCTTTTTTTGTTTGCTATGCAGCAGCTTCTTAGTTTCATGTAATCCTGTTTCCTATTGCCTGTTTTGGAGGTCTTACCCCAGAAAATTTTTGCTCAGATGAATGTCTTAAAATATTTCCCTATATTTTCTTCAGGTAGTTTTATACTCCCAGGTCTTAATTACATTTAGGTCTTTGGTCCATTTTGAGTTGATTTTTATGTGCTGAGAAATAGAGGTCTAGTTTCATTCTTTTTTTTTTTTTTTTAAGTTTCATTCTTGTGCATATGAATACCTAATTACTCTAACACCAATGCAGAGATTCTGCTTGTTTATAAGTCAGATTTATTTAGGAGGTATAGTTCTCATGGCAAGACTCAGTGGTGTGTAGGTGTACAGTGCAAGGAATGACAACTGATGCCTGAAATCATGTAGCCATCACTGTAGCTAAGACAGTCTCTCTCCATCACTCCAGAAAGTTATCTATAGCCCTCTAAAGTCCATTTTCCTTTTTCAGGAGTGTTTTTGCTGTGTGTCTCTGTTCATATTCATTTGTAGTCCCCAAAAGGACTAGGTGGCTCATGACAGGTGTCAGCTTTACTGTGTGAGGTTTTTAAAAATCTAATAAGCGCCAATAGGGTTTCCTTTTAATTCTTTGTGGGAAATTGGCATTTGGTTTGTGTGGCTATACACCTCTAACATGCTTTTCTAAGGGTAGCTTCTTTGGGGATACTGTGTGTGGCCTGTTTGACATGTCTGATTATCTGTCTCATCCCATCTTAGCCCCTTTGTTCCTCCCTGACCACCTTTTCTCTCCCTACCTCATTGGGCCAGCATTTAAATGTCCTGTCCTCTAAAGTGCGGGTGAATGGCATTCCCTTTAGCTATAGAGGGTTCTGAAAAGAGATTTCTTAATATGTTCTTGCACTGGAAGCTAAAGCAGCTTGGAAGCCTTGGGCTGAAAGCTTGTAGATGAGCCTTTGTTTTCACCTGTGAGCTTGGAAACACCAGGAGTCAGAAGTTGCTCATAGGAACACTTGGGTTTCCTGATCTTACTGTGGAAGTGAGAGAGACTCTTAGTGACTTAGTTGAAATCACTCCCATGTGTCCCCAGACCCTCTGAGATTATCCAGCAGATATTTTCCAGCCAAGAATTCAAGTATAGTGTGGTTGATTAATTGAGTGAGTGAGTGAGTGAGTGGTTCCTGGGAAGAGTTTTGTCTCTTCAAGCAAAAATCTGTTGTGTTGGTACTCTGCTGTCTGTAGTTAAAAATTTTTTGTTTCATAAAGCTGAAAATTTCCACACTCTATGGAAATGTGAAAAGTGACATTGATATAAAAAATTTATCTAAATATAAAGGGTGATTATGGTTGGAAAGTTTAGACCTTCAATAGTGGAAAGGAATGAGACTAAGTTTATTTGCCTTTGTTCAGAATGGTTTGTCGGCCACTATAAGTTCACTACCCCTCTTTGCCTACTCCTCAGATCAGTTAGTAACTTAACTTGAAAAATGCTGTTGAAAGCCAGATGTGGTGGTACATGCCCATAATACCAGCACTCGGGAGGCTGAGGCAGGAGGATTGTCATAAGTTCAAGGTCAGTGGGCTATGTAGGGAGTTCAAGGACAGCCTGAACTACATAGTGGGACCCTGTCTCAAAAAAAAACAAAAAGAAAAATACTGTTGGTAGGTAATTATCTCCATCAATTCATATAACTATGATAAGATACATCTTTTAGAAAAACAAACCAGCAGGATTCTGCCCTCAGTTCTTTGCAGTCCGATTAAAGTGTGAAGAACAGTTTTACATAAAAAGATTCAAAAGGAAGTTCTAGTAACAGGCATCAGTGAATGTTTAAGATACTGTGTTATTGACAATTCATGATTATTTTTTATATTTGAGTGAACTATATCCTCTTAAATGAGGCTGCCATGTAATCTTCCAGGGAGCAATTTCAGGCTGGCCCTGCTGGGCTGCCTGATGGTGCTCTGGCTCCCTCTGTTCCTTGTTTCTCCTTTCTTTTCTGTCCATTGTAATCTTCAGTGCTCTCAGGTTTTGGAATGATTGTCTAAAAATCCACAGTATTTACTGAGTGTCCCTCCTATCAGGGATCTGAATATTTGTCATTCTCCCTTACCAGAGCTGAAGGAGGCAGACGGCATGGTTACATGGGACACCTCACGAGGATAGCTAACTGTATTGTGCACAGTACGGACAAGGGGCCCAACAGTGCATTAGTGCAGCAGCTTATCAAAGGTAAGTTGGTTTAACTATTTCTGTTGGTTTGCAGAAAGAGTTTAGCAGTAAAACAGAATTGAAACATTTTTGATAGCTTGTTTGTGGAGTTTCTATTTGCAGATTGTCTGGAATTTGAATGTGGTTCTCAACTATATTTCTATTAGGATTTCTGCTGTCCTTTTAGTAGATACTGGCCAACTTCAGCATCCTGGAGTTGCCCACTGTTGTTAAAAATCATTGCTTGCTAGATTGTGCCAGGGATATAGCTCAGTGGCACAAGTGCCTGCTTGGCAAGTGCAAGTTCTTGAGTTTGATTCCCGGTAGATAGATAGATAGGATTTTGAGCTCACAGTATTCCTCTGCTGGCAGTAGAGCCACTTGAGCTACAATTACTCTTGCTGTTACTTTTCTTTTGAAGCCCTCTATCTCACTTGTGCATTCATTGCCTTTAAGGTGGGCTGCTAAGGCATTTGTGACCATTTCTTTTAGTATCTCTGTCACTAAAATGGGAAGGGGTCTTGGTCCCCAAAAGAGTCTCTTATTTTACTAGCATTTAACTTTTAATTTGCCCAAAGTTAGCTGGAAAAAACTAAATGCCTTTTACACAGGGACCCAGACCACAAGTCCGTCTCTTCCAGAATGAGAGTATCAGGAGCACTGTACTGTGGGTTTCTGTCCAGTGGAGTTACAACCAGACCTAAGACTTCTTTGAGTGTGAAGAATTTGTAACTTCCCTGGGACAGAGTTCCTTCAGAGTTAGCTTGCTGAAAATTGTTTCCCATTGTATTTATTTTTCTCCTAAGAATGTTTGGTCAAGAGGCTGTTTGTTACCTGTTGAATGTACAGACAATTCTCATTTAACACCTAACCTGTTTAATGACCTTCCTATTTAAACTGTTTGGACTTAATGCTAAGGCGTGCTGTTCGAACTTAGAATCCACCATTTAGAATTACAACACAGGAACATGAACAGCAGTGTGGCCTTATGGTGGGTTCTTCTACAGTACAGTATTGCAATTTTTGGTGATTGTACTAAACAGTACGGTACTGTAGTTTCATGTTCTGGTATGCATTACAGTATTGCATGTAAGAGTTAAGCAAATAAAAGTAAAGTCATCAAGTTGGAATTTTCTTTGACCATTTCTTTGTTCTGAATATCATAATGTACGTACTATATACAATTTGTCATTTAGTGACTGATTCATTTAACAACCTGTTTGCAGGAATGGAACTCACTCTTAAACAACAAATGTCTGTACGTTAAAAGCCTAGTTGTCACTCACCCAGTGGGAGAAAAATTAGGGCTTGCCCATCTGTAATTTTGCTTTTTGAAAGTTGTATAAGTCTCTTTCTTAAGTCATTTCTCACCAGATCGCATGTCCTTACCAAGGAGAAATGGCTGTATAATGTGATTTGAGTTTTTTAGATCACCTTTCTTTTACAGAAGTTGCTTGCCTGGCAGTGTGTGTGCATGTATGAGAATGCACCTATGCCTGGATGTGTAAGCCATAACTGCCAGATTTCCCACTTAGGTAGGCTTCTAAAATTATAGCCATGGTTCCATTTTCTCAGAAAACTATTTATGTATCCTTCCATTTAAAAATTTTGTAGAAGGTAGAATTTCACTATTTGTGTGTGTGTGTGTGTGTGTATTTATATATCCCATATGTTGGCTCATGAGACAGGCATTATCTTAGAGACATTATCTTAGAGAAGTTGAAGAAGCCAAATAGGGTTCCATCGAACATTATTGGCCAGGTGCCACCAGAGTGTCTTGCAAAGGTGTAAGAGCTGTCATTTGCAGTATTTCCTAAACTTTCTTGCCTGTGGGAAAAGTTGACTGCCCCACTTGTTTGAGATTTTCTAATTCCTTTTTGTCAGAGCAGTGGGCTGGCTGTTGCTAGCTCCTCAGCTGATGGGCTTGCTCTCTCGTCATCAGTGAAAGAGACAGGCTGCTCTGCATGACCCTCCACTCCAGTCTTCTTCATGGTCACCGTGGTGATAATGCTTTTCTCCTTTTCTTACTCTGAAGATCTTCCCGATGAAGTCAGGGAGCGATGGGAGACGTTCTGCACAAGCTCCTTAGGAGAAACGAACAAGAGGAACACGGTAGATCTAGTAGGTTTTACAAGGTTACATTTCTGGTTTTTTTCATTGCTGTTAGACTTTACCCATTTATTCAGAAAAACATAAAAAGCTTTTCTATTTGGCCCAGTAAATGGGCCGAGGATAAATCCATGCCTGTTTCTCAGGAAAAGTCAGTATTTGTAGTACTCTTGCTAAGTTGTCTGGTCAACTCCTAATTACCTGCTTTGGATAAGAAAAAGGTACTGAAAAGCCACAGATTTCTACTCTACACCATATTTCTGTTTCCCTTGATGCCCTGATCCCTAAGCACCTCAACAGTAACCTTCCTCTTACTCTGTGGGGTTTATTGCCTTATGCCTCAGATAACCCTAAGTGCTTAAAAATCTGAAAAAATCCTGTAGATATTTTCCAGTATTATTGGGTTGAGCTTACTCTCATTTTAGATCATTGTCAGTGAGGGAAAACTTTGTAGGTGACTTTGAAACTCTAGTTTTAAAATCTTTAGCAGAATTGGTACTTTCAGCCAGGGAATAATGGCATTGATAATTTTTTAAAAATTATATTGGACTTTGGAATGTATTTTTGTTTTTTAACATGTTAAGATTTTGAGGTAAGTATTGTTTGGTTTTGCTTTTAAAGATAGTGGAGCATCTTCCTTTGTAAGCATATGCCAGCTGATAAGGTGAGAGCCTTGGCTTAGAAAGAGTGCTGTCCAACATTTAATTTGTTATTTGAAATCTAGCACCTGTACTCTTGAATTTCTAGTGTATAGTAACAGTATACTATGTCAGTTACCTGGCAGCCTTATCTATTCAGTACATAACTTAAAAACAAGAGTGAAGCAGGTTGTGAAAGCTAGAGTGTTCTTATGACCATGGTGGTAAACGTACGGCACACTTGCTACAGCCGGCTGTTTGTATCATTGAACACTCTAAAAGATTTGCCCATTGCTCTAGGGCGTCCTTTGTCAAACTTCTTCAAGGGCCCGTGCCTCCTGTGTACTAGACTAACAGATTTGGTTCTTTTTCCAGTTAGGTCAGAGTAGTGGTGTAATGGCTTTTTAAAGTGGTTTAGAAAGTAGGAAGACTTGGAAGAATTGTGAAACAGAAGTAACTATGAAAGGAAAACTTCATGGGGATATCTAATTAAAATGGGTCTGTGGGCCCCACATGTTTCTTTATTGGACAGCCTAGTAGAGAAACTAACTTTCATATTGATAGCTGTGGATCATCAAGGAAAGCCTAAGTCATTTTTTTGAACATATTACCCATTGTAAATAGTTTTTAGGGTTTTGTTTTTTACATTAACCAAATTGGTTAAAATACTAAGGGGGGTTAAATACTACCCAGATATCACCTAACCTGGGAGTTCTGAGTAATTAAAGTTGTTTTTGGAGGTGGGTTTTTTGTTTTTTATACCTTGAAATTGTCCTCTCTCATACTGTGAGATTTAACCATTTAATTTTAGAGGTTCTGTATTAATTCTTTGTTAAGAATGCAGACTGGGACCGGGAATATAGCTCAGCACCACAAGCACCTGTCTGGCAAGTGCAAGGTCCTGAGTTCGATTCCCAGTATTCCCCTGCCCCCCATAAAACAAAAATGTAGATCACATGGTTTCATAAAAGGGAATTTTGCTTTTTCCATCTTACGTATGTTTTTTCCTTGTTTCCTAATATGTAAAGGAATATTTTAAAATATTCTGCTTTTGTTTTGGAAATTTTTGTTTAAAAAGTAGACATGAAAAACTTATCAGGCTTTAAGAAAAAAACTTAAGTAACTCAAGCAGACTTCATGAGCAGCTCTGCAGTAAAGGAGAGTTTCATTGTAGTCCAGGCAATACTCAGTTCCATTACATACTGCCAATAAACCTGTCATGTTACTGTGTAAATATCTGTGTACCTCGTGGAACGGCATGATGTACAGCAAAGAATGTGTGTTCAATTCCCCTTTGAGCCAGACACCTGAAGACATTCACACCTGTGTTGAAATAAAGTCCTCATGAGCTCCATCTGTCAACCAACTTGGAGCACAATTCATTTGCAGTGCCATACATGGATTACAGATATATTCTATGGTAAGATGCAGTGGGGGGAAGCCGTATATAGCAAAGATGGTCAGACTTGTAGAGACCTGTTAACATTGCTGACTTCCCATTGAATTAGCTCTACTCCATAATTTTGCTTCCTATTGAGGCTTTCCAGTTGATCTTAAAACTTTGATCCCAAAGCTTTTCTTAAGTACTGTCTCCATTTAGTTGGAGGTCCTTCCAGTGCGGAATTTTGCATTGTAGTCTTTTGGTTATTTTGTTTTGATTTGATTTGTTGTTTTTTTAAGACAAGGACTTGCTATGTAGTTCAGTTTGGCCTTGAACTCATGTAGCTAAGGCTGACCTCAAACTTGAGAAAATCCTCCTGCCTCAGCCTCCTGAGTACTGGAATTACAGGCTTGTCCCACCATGCTCAGCTCTGTATTGCAGTATTTAGGGGCTACAGATCACTCAAGTTTTTAAGGGTGCCTAATCATACATAAATACCAGACCACCAAGAGATTTTAATTCACCCTCTAGGTTCATTTTCAAGTACAGAATGTTTTCAGAATGTATCTCAGTGGGGCTGAGTACCATGTTCTGGGGAAATAAGCTATTGTAAATATTTCTGTGAGCTCAACTTGGTAAATATAGTGGGCCTTGCTTACTCTTGGAAAAGTGGTAGAGTACCCACACATGAATGTAGTACGTGGCCTTAGTAAAAGCACTGCCTTTTTAACCATTCATCAGCAGAGGTAATAGTTTTTTTATCCCTGCCCCTTTCTCAGGTGGATGGATTAGATCTATTGCCTTTACTTAGTTGGTTTTAAGATGGCTCAAATACCTCTTTTTAAGGTGGCTCAGATACCTCTCTGAGGTTTGTTTCACATGTATTCATAGCTTAAGTTAGTACATACGGTAGGACTGGCCTGTGCTTGCTTTTCTGTTTACAACCAAGATACACTCATTTATACACTAAATACTTACCTGTCCTACTGGCTCCTGCCCTGAGGACTTCCTTGCTTACAGAGGATAACATCTTCCAGCCACCAGCTCCTGTTGCTTCTACTGCAACATTTTCATTAAACTCTTAAGATATCTGAAGGGCTTTAGTCTTCCCCAGTGTATGAAAAATATATGCACGGTAGGTTCATACACTGCCTAGGTTTTTATGTTGGGGGTTTATTACAAATAAAATTTGGGTTTGTAACTTTATACAAAGTCCTGGTTTAAGTAAGTCCTCAAACTGTAAAAATTGGCAAGGATTTAGAAAGTTAGATAATGAAATATTTTGTACTAACTTTGGAAAATTGAGTTTCCTTCTTGAGCTTCTATCTCCAGTAGGGGAAATGCATTTTTAAAGTGTTGGTGCTTATTTCCCATCATTGGCGTAGAGTATATGGAGGGGATGTACAATGGCAGGAACACTGCGTGTGTGAAATGCCTAAGGTGGAAGTGAAAGTTAAGTGTTGCCCCCCTAGGATAGGCAGGGGCCAGGGGTCGGCGGTGGATCCACACTGGGAGCAGTGAGAACACACGAAGTAGTGAGGAGTAAGAGGCAGCTTCTGCTTCTCGCTGGGTTTAATAATCACATCACACTCAGGGTTTTGTTTGGCAACCTACATGAAGAAATCACATATTTGCTTTTTCCTTTAACAATAGTTAGTAAAGCTGAAACTATTATGCAAGAAGGTAAAATCACAGAAGCTTTTTTTGCCCACAGCAACATCAGGAGTACTGTATATTTCACTTAGCATACATCGAGCTTGGCAAAAATGTTCTTAATGTATGTGTTAACTTTTTATTGCATTTGTTCCTGTTGATTTATTGGTATTCATTAATTCAGTATTCGAGTGCCTACTATGAACCAGACACAGAGGATAATAGTACTAAACAATATTGGCAAAAATCCATACTCCCATGGAGATGGCTAAACAAATGAGTCACACTCTGTGGGGAGCTAGAAAATGATTTGGGCAGAAGTGCAGTTTAAAATGAGGTGTTCTAGGGGAAGCTCACTGAGAAGATAACGTTGTGGAGACTTGATAGGAGGCAAGGAGGACCAAAGTGCCCCAAGATTGGATTATTGCTAGTGTGTCCAATCTGGATGTAATAAGCAGGCGAGGAAGAAAGTAGGAAAACACGAGGCCACAGAGACACTGAGCAGCCAGAATTTATATAGCCTTGTAGTCCATGGGGAGCATCTTGGTTTTCTGTCTTAGTGAGATGGGAACCTTTTAGATTTTGAACTAAAAAAAAAGTGGCATAATTTGATGTCCTTTTTTGAAAGGTTACTATGGCTGGTGGCAGGCTATAGAGGAACAGGAGTTAAGCGGAGGAGCCTTACAAGCTGTTTCCTGAGCATCAATCAAGGGGAGGGATTAGATGGCTTGCAGGAGTGAGCTAGTAGTAGACTTGGTGAAGATTAATGGCAGTGTAAGTTACATTGTGAAGGTAGGTGGGGCATATGTGAGTAGGTTAGAGGAGACACATTGACTGAGGGATTTAGCTGAAGAAGAGGGAAGGTGGCATTTCCTGAGCTGGAGATGGCTCAGAAGGAGCATGTTTGAAAATATACATTGTGGGCCAGGGATGTAGCTCAGGGGCACGCACCTGCCTGAAAATATACATCAGGAATTTGATTTTGTAGACGTTTAAGAGATGAACTTGGGTTTCTGATTAGTGAATTTCCCCCATGGGTAAATTATTCTTTTTAACTCATTTTATTAATGTTTTCAACCTGGAGCCACACGGGTAGAATCAGAATCACATTCTCCGTTAGTACAACTGTGAAGTGTGTATTACTTTTAATAGTAACTTGCTGAAACGAATTTATTTTTAGAGAAAAAACATGAATACCTCCTGGATTGCTTTGAGGAAACAATTTAAGTAGAGCTCCCTTAAGGAGTCACAACATCTGGCACATCGTAGTTGCTCAGCAGGCTTCCTCCTGACCTTAACTAATGAAGTGATAAACACTAACTTTGTAGGAAAAAGTACAAATACCAGGACATACTGTATCCCATTAGCCCTAAGATGAGACTGTGCTACAAGCAGCCAACCCTATTTTATTCTCTTTTCTTCTGTTCTACTAGCTTGCACTTTGAATTTTCCTCTCTTTTTGTGCCCTACAGTGAGGTTGCACCCCTCCATCACATGCTGACCCGGCATAACATATGCTGTAGCTTTTTAGGCAAGTACCCCAAGGTTCTTCTAAATCCACTTGGGTATAGTTGTTGCAGAAGATGGCAGGTGTGGCCACCAAGCATAGCCACACACTGGTGAGGCTTTCCTGGGCCATGCCCATTCCCTCATGTCTCCCTGATAACTTACTGAGGCTATTGTTAACCTGAGCAGAGTCCTTCAGTGATAATAAACTGTGCCTCTGATTTTCTCAGGCCAGATTCAACAGTGGAGTACAAGTGCTGTATACCTCAGGGGAATGGAGAGGGAAGTAATTGGAAATATTGAATTAGTATAGTTTAATTTCACTTGGGGTTCATGTCTTTACCAAAGATTACCAGAAGGAAAAGTCAATCTTATTTAAGCAGTGATTTATTGAGAACTTCACAAACCATACTTCAGACAGGCCTATTTGGATTGTACTTTGAGCTTCTTGAACTAATGTCAGAACAGCTTCCGAAGCAGACCAGGCCAGTCCCAAAAGTCCCTGCTTTTAGGCACATTCTTATGTTATCAGTTTATCAACACATCAGCAAGTAACAGATGCTTGTATCTTCCCCTAAGGACCTTATTCTTTGCCCAGAACACTTCTACAAAATGTAAGGAATAAATACTTCAGAGAATATAGTGCCTGTTACCCTCAAGTATAAGGCTTGTTTCTAGAATTTTGTAAGCTCCTTATATTTATCACTTGCTATATACCAGTTCTTTTAGTAATACTTAATTATTTGTGTATATTGGTTCCTAATTACCAACACATTTCCCTTTCCCTGATACTATTATTGTGGCATGTATGAATACTTCATGTCTGTATTTTTTATTGTTGAGAGTTGGTTGTACATCCTGGGTGCAGGAAGGTACATCTTCCTGGGCAACTTTGGGGTGTTTGGGGGGCAGGGGACTGTTGGATCAAATCATATTTACTGCTCATGGCCAATATGGGCAGAAAATTCAAGAATTTTAGGTACAGTGGTTGTATTTAAATCTGACTGTTCTTGTGGCCTATTAGTAATCCCTGGGGAATTGCAGTTTTATCCTATAGGCCTGGCATATACCAACTATTTTTATGTTTGAGACATACTACTATTTCAACCTTTTTCCCCTTGCGTAAATGTTTAATTGGTGATAATTCTAAAAGTATTTCAGTGGAGTAACTCTTGTCTTTTTTAAAAATCTGATTTCTAGCTGTGGTAGTACTGAGGAGTGAAATAACCAGAAAAGGGCAGCAGAAGGGCTGGTAGCCAGACTGAGGGAAGTGTACCCTTGATGATTGGGTGGGTTTGACGATTTAACTGTTACTTTTGTTTTTTCTGTTACACATTGAGAGAAAAACTGAATGTGATTTTTTTCCGTAAAAATGCTAATACAAATGTCCAAAACTTTTTCTATGTTAAATAGTTTTTTACATTTTTATGCATATAGGTTACAACCTGCCATATTCATTCATCCAGTGATGATGAAATTGACTTTAAAGAAACGGGTTTCTCACAGGATTCCTCTTTGCAGCAAGTGAGTCATGCCTAAAGCTTTGCTCTTTGTTTTTATTTTAAATGCTTAGTTTAGTTGCCATTTGTCAATCAGCTTTGGAGTCAGATTATGTATTAGAATGTGATTTGGGGTTACTTATTAGTTAGGCCAAAGCATTTAAAATAGGAATGGTTGGGTACAGGAGAGGTAGGTTTATACTGAGATATTTTCAGGGAAGTTGGAGTAGTTGGCAAGTCATCTAACACATGCCTATTATGCAGACTTTACAATAGTTGAGTTGTTTAAATAGATTGGTGTGGTAGAGACACGCAGGTAAGAATAATAGAGAAATAAGGTTTTTAACATGTAAGAGTAAACTTTCACCAATATCCTGAACCAAATGGCTTATTAAAATACCTTTTGCTGTTAATGGTATGTTTCTAATATCTTGTAAGTTCTATTACAGTGACATATATTTAGATTTAGTTGAAATAATGCATTACTCCCCCTGCTTCTCTGCCCCAAATTCATCTCCATTTGTCAGCTGCTTTTAATCTTTGTTGGGGGGAATGATAGAACTAATAAGTGTATTGATTTATCATCCATTGAGTTTTACTTTTCTTTTGTCAAGTTTCAGAGCTAAAAATAGAAACCCAATAGCCAGTGATCAGCCCTTTATATGGAAATTGTCCTTAGCCAGGACCAGAAGGTCTTGGCATAATAATTGCTTTGGTATGACAGTCGAATTAAAGCCATGCCTTCCCACCCTACACTGAACATTGCTTGGCTTCTTTTTTCTCGGTCTTTAAACTTCATCTTTTATTAGGACCTGCACAGAGCTCCTGGTACTTGTGCTGATTGGTCTTTGACTTCCAGGTTGTAGTATCTGTCAACTTGGGGCTAAGCAATTGCTTGGATTTGGTAGACAGATTAGCATTTACCTTTTCCAGATAGGTCTGAAGAGGCATTTCTACTTGGCTGCCTTCCTTCTGATTCCTGACACTGCTGCCCTTTGGCAGCTGGCTCCCAAGTACTGTACAGTTAGGGAGCAGCCAACCCATAGGGAGTGCTGTTGAGTATCAATGCCTTCTTGAAGATAGACACTGTCTTGCTTTGTGGTAGTACTGGCCATCCAGGTGGGCCACCTGGCATAGTGTGAGCCCTGGTGCCTACAAGTCACCCTTTTTTGTTCCTACAATGCTCTGGTATTGTCCCAGGAAGCATATTGACAGTGACTTTTCCACTGAAGCACCTGTGGATAGTGAAACAACCAACTCACCTAAGAATAAATGCAAATACTCTTTTGGGTCATTGCTCTGCCTCCTGAGCTTGGTAGTATCAAATGTAAATTACCAAGGTGATTTGGTACCTGTTGAAATCTAGCATTGAGAGAGGGAATACCACCCTAAACATCTGTTTGTAAATATGGTAATAAACTTGGAACTTACTGTTCTTTTTTTCTTTTTTTGATGGTGGTAGGGGTTAACCCAGGACAATGTGTAGGCTAGACTTGTACTCTACCAATGAGCTATGTTGTTGGGCCCAAAATTCCAACAAGAACTCACTTAATTTTAAGGTATCTAGAAAGTGGATCCCCTTATTTCTCATGGTATCAGGTTCAAGGGCCATGGACTGTTCTTTTTCTTACCTTTTTTTCTTAAGATTGACTGCTGGTAACATATGAAACAACCCAGGTCATAAAACTGACTTAGTAACACAACCCTCACCAAGCTCCTAGTCTTGTGAATTTTATCCACTTCTTGTGGAAGTGTAGAAGGAAAAATAATTATACTTAATTATCAACAGATTTCCAGTAAACTTTTCTTGGTATATTTAAACTAACCAGGGATTATATTGAAACTAAGAAACATAATTCAAAACCTTTTTTTAAAAAAGATTAAGAGTTTCATCATAGTCTGTTATAATCAGAATATTAATTTACAGACATATCAAATTTCTCATTCATACTTGAAATTCAGCTTCCTGTTGACCAGTCCCCTGAGAATAGAGAGCTCAGGGCAGGTCATTTAACCAGGTAACCATGTCACAGGTGGGGCCATATTTGCTGTGGGTAATGTCTTACCACATCTGTACCCCTGTGCATTTTGTTCTGGACCCCTGGTCCTTTCTGGTTTCTTAACATCTAGTGCTGTCTCCCCATCCTAATTCTGCTCCCAGAAGCGTGAAGGTAAGAGTTCTTTCTCTGCCGTGTCAAGAATTCAGGCCAGCACTTCAGATGGGTACTGCTAATGATCTGATACCTCTACCACCCTACCTCATGTACAGGCTTGGGATAGGCAGTCAGATCAGTTTAATTCACTAGTACTTTCTGTGCCCTAGATGATAGGACTCTTCATGAGATTTGCCTGATAAAGTGGTTAGCTTACTTCCCACCAGAGCCTTGAACAGTCTCTGATGTTGACCAGAATGATAGTACTGGAACGTGTGGTTTATAATTACATGACCTGTAGTGCTTTCCCGATTTGGATATCTAAAAAATTCAGAGCATTTTTAATATAATTTTAAGTAAAAAAATAGTTAATCCTCATTTATGTGGGTTTGTAAGCTTTGATAGCTTTATTAGTAAAAATTCAATTTGAAACATATAGTTGTTTACTGGTTTGTATATTCCTCAAACTTAAAATAGACCGAGAAATAATGAGGACTGTAACTTTTATCATTTTTTCCTTTTTAATTACTTCATGAAGTTACTTGTGTCTGACAGTTGCTGTATCCATATTTCTAGGTAGAGAGAATGAATGCAGAAATGTGTGTGTACATGTGAATGTTTATCTGTACATATATGTCTATGTACAGACATATGACATATATGTAGATACATGTGATACACTTACTATTTATGAAGAATTTAAGTATAGAAACATTTTGGGGAACAATTCCCCTTCACAGTGACCCCAAACAGTCATAATATGAACAATCATTAAGGTGCAAAAATACTGAAGAAAAGGAAAACAAAGGAAACAGCTAAGAATGACCCTTCCCTTTCATAGCAGATTGCTAGTACGTACGTAAGCTTGGAGCCTGGCTCATGCTGCTTGCTCAGCAGAATGACTGCATGGTTCTTTAGCACATCTTGAAAGTACCAGACATCCTTATCAGAGAAAAGACTCCATTCAGAGGAGTTGGTTTCTCTTCTATTTAATAGATATGAATGCTCTCCATCATGTTTTCCATTCATGTGCCCCAAACTCAGCTTAATACCCAGAACTTGTCCCACTCTTCTGTTTTCAACCAAATCTCCATGACTCAGCCTTGGTTTGCACTCTCTGCCTTACCCAGTGCAGTCCTTCGAAGTTGCCTCTGCAGATATATCATGAATAATGATCCAGCAGCAAGCTGCCTGCTGGCCCTCATGTACTCATATAATACCAACTGTGTGGACCAGAAGAGGGACAGCATGGAGGTGTGAATGAACACGGGGTGCTGGGTGTGCACTGTCTTGCATGAGAGGAAAATGAGATTGGGAATCTCCTTATGTGTCCAAGCTGGATACAGCTTTTTTCAGATCTAAGCAAAAGATACCTTCCAAAGCCAAATATATAAGGTTTATTTTTAAATTACTTACAGTATGGATTATCCATGCCATAATTCCCTGTCACCTAATTAATTCATTAGGAATTAGTGGTAAAGGTATTTCTGCAATGTGCATCTGCAGGATGAAATCTGTGGGCTTTCCTTGGTGTGGACCCAAGAACTCACTATGACTCAGGGATCAGGGTGGGAGTTGCTGCCTCCCAGCAAGTAGCTTCAGGCGTGCCTTCAGTTCAGCTAACAGCTTCTGCGGCCGTCGTGGGGCTGCCTTTGGGAAACAGCAGTGCCAACCATGGGCAGCACACACACCGTTACGTGGTCTTGTGTTTAGTGTTAGGTTAGTATGACGAGGTGGCAGTTGCTTGTCTTCATGTGTTCTTTACTACTTCTGATTAATCAGCATACTCCCTAATTTTACTTGTTCCTTGGGCCCACTTGTTCAAGCTCAGAGTATCAACATTTTTGTGGAGTCCACAACATTCCCCCATTTTTCAACTAAGAAAACCCAGGTGAATCACTAGATAATGATGGAAAGAAACAGCTGGCTTTCCCATGTGCCTGCTAGTGTTCTAGGCTTTCTTGAATGATCTCAAAGGGTTAAAACCTTCTGTTTTCTACTTAAGGTAGGTAGTGTAGAAGTTATTTCTGTCTTACATTCTTTCTAGCCTCTAAGACTTGTCTTTTTTTTTTTTTTTTTTTTTAAGAAAATGAACTGTCGTAAATGTTTTGTTTGTAGGATCATGATTGTGTTTATCAGTTACTTTTCCTTCTACGTTGTTTTGCTGTGGTGGATCGGGTTGGAAAATGGCAAGGAGGGGAGTGGCGGGGAGTTGCATGTTGGATCTCAGGGTAAAGTTGGTCGTGTCTGTAAGGTGACTGACACACTTCATAATTTCAGACTGCTACATGTCACTCAGTCACATCTTCAAATAAGGCTTAAATCTGTCTCTAAACAACAGAGGACAGTGGCCACTTAATATTTTTTATTTTGATAATGTACATTAGAACAATTTGTGGACCAAATTTCAAGCATTATCCCTTTTTTTGGCAAAATGTGTCTGAAATTATTTGATTTTTTTTTTAGAAAAACACACCAACTTTTAAAGCCATATGGCTACATAAATAAGATGATTTCTGGAACACAAATGGGCAAATAGTATGTAGAATGTCATTAGAATCATGATATCACTGTCACTGGTCCTGGGGTTGCCAGGCCTTTTCTGATTATCAGATGCAACAAATGACGTCCAATTTTATTGACCAGTTTGGCTTCAACGATGAGAAGTTTGCAGACCAAGATGACATTGGCAAGTGAGTATGTTTTCCTGTTTGTGTAATTGCCTCATATAGTGCTGCTTTTTGTGAGACTTTTTTTTAAAAAAAATTCTGCTGGGTTCTTGGTCCTCTCTGGTGGCGTTCTTGAGTTAGGAGGAATATTCCCTTCTTGTGGCCCTGTAAGTCCAACCATGAGGCTGACTACTTAAGGACCGTTAGGACTTAAAGTATCTCCTCAAGGAAAAATGCAGTCTTGATTGGACTTCACCTCTTCCACAGAGGTTTATTTTCATTAGATTGTCCTTCTTTTAGGAGCCCAAGTCATCATTCTGCTCTTCTAGGTAGTGTTAAATAGCATTACCTGAAGTTCACAGCCCCTATGCTGTTCGTTACTTGGTTTGAAGTGTGTTCACTTACAGAATGTGTGATGGGATTTTATATTCCAGCAGATGACCAGGATGGCAGAAGCAGCTGTGCCCTGTGTGTATGTGGTCTTGTAGGAGACTTATTGTAAGGGAAAGTTGGACTTTGAGGAGAACCATATAGTGAAATCGTTCATTCTGCAATCAGGGTAACAGGCACAGAGCAGAAATTACAGATGCACAGTATCAGTGAATAGAGAATGTGTAAGTGACTCACAGAAATGAACACCAGTGATGTAGCCTGACCTTGGGAGAGGGGAGATACATGTAAACATAGTGTTTTTGAAATGAACATTACAACTTATAGTGAACAATTTGAAGAAAAATTGGCAGCTAACAAATACTGGATGCCATCTCTCACAGAAGATCACAGTTATCGCCATGAATACTTGGTATCCGCTATGGTGCTTTAGCAGTCAATTCTCAATAATTTGTTGAACTGCAGCCAGTGGAGTCTGTTGTTTACTACATATTGCCATTTATAGTATGTGAGAAGTTAAAATTTTTTTTATAGCACACTTAATGCTATAAACATGCTGTTCTGGCATAATGGAACGGAGACTCCACTGTAAATAGCAGGAGGGGATGTCTGTCAGCTGCCTTAGGATTAGTTTGTCTTAATCCAGAAAGAGCAAGAACACTCCATGAGGTTACCTGTTTGCCCTGGGAGCAAGATTGGTTCCCCACCTCACACCAGAACCCGCGGTCCCCACATTCCCCATTTGATGTCTCAGCATTGACTGTCTGGAGTCTGGCAGAGTGTTATAGTCAGGAATCCATCTTCTCTGTAAAACTTGGTGCTTAGAATAGTGATTATTAGAACAGATCTTCTCAAGCTAGCCTTACCTGCTCAAAAAACAAGTTTAATGGGCTATAAGTTTTATTCCCTACCATCTTCTTGGATTATGCCTTGTTGTAGCATAAGATTTCGAGGATGCCTGTGTATTTTGTGTATGAATTTGGCTAACTGGAGAAAGCTCAGTGCCTACTGATACTTTTGTACTTTTTTTTGTGGTTTGACTTGATTCTTTTTTGCAAGTAATTTCTTTTTGGGTGTGTGTGGTCAGTGGAACCATACACATGGGTCATGGGTGCTATAAATCCTTTTTAGGGTGTTTGAAAGGCTTATGTCTCAAAAGGCTTCCGTTTCACCCTTTCCCTCCTGAATACATTTCTTAATACTGCAGGAAATGACATCATTTAATACATGAAAACTGTTTTGCTTTCTGTGTATAGAGATTTTCATGATAATGTATTTTAAAGAAAATTTTATGAATACTATTCTTGGAGCCTCTGAGTAATTAACAAGTCTTATTACACTTATATTTTGTTTACAGTGTTTCTTTTGATCGGGTATCAGACATCAACTTTACTCTCAATACAAATGAAAGTGTAAGTATAACTATTTTCTGTCATGAGTAACATGGCATATAAGAAGTGGAAAAGTGGAAGGTGGAATTGGTTTCTGTGAGAGTCCAAGTGTAGTTGCCTTGATCACTGGGAGCCCATATCTTAGGTTGATATCACATGTGTCACCCACTCCTAATACCTACCTGGCAGCTGTGGGCATAAGTTTACAACCGTGGCTTAAATGTGACTGGGCTAATAACACCAGGGTCACTGGTGATGGCAGCATAGACCTTTGGCTATAAAGGGAAGACTGCAGGTTGTCTATCTTCTCTTCCCAGGATCAGGGCCAGTGTCTCACTACCATGCTGCTCTGAAAGCACCAAGACCGTCACAGTATTTGAGTAGGCAGAGTCTTGATTTTAATTTGCTTAGCCTGAGAGACCGCTGGTTTACTTGCTGGTGTGATGTTGCACAAACAACTGAGTAGGGCCACGGCAGCTCAGTGCTGCTTAGCTGGACAGGGGAGGTCAGAGAGAACAAAGCTTTCTTTTCCTTGTTGGCCAGATCTGCGATTGCATCTCCAGGGCAGAGGAAGTTCTTGGTCTCATACTGTTGTTCTCACTAGGTGACCTGAGTTCGTGAGGAGGGAATGGCATAGGCCTACTGTGTGCTGGTTTTGAACCCACTCTTTTTAGAGGAACTTCTTGTTACATACATAGAAACTAATATTAGATGCATACATTTTATTTTCATGTGATAGTTACTGTTTTTTTAAAAGCAATGCAAAAATTTACATTGGTAACTTTGAGGAGAAAATAGCTTGAATTTGTTTTGTTTTGTTTCCCTCATTCTTGTTTTTATTTAGGGAAATATCGCCTTGTTTGAAGCATGTTGTAAGGAAAGAATACAGCAGTTTGATGATGGTGGCTCTGATGAGGAGGATATCTGGGAGGAAAAGCACATTGCATTTACACCAGAATCCCAAAGAAGATCCAGGTGAAAGATAGTTCATTACACTCAAAATTGTACATAGCAGACGATTATGATGAGATACATAATGTACCCTCGCCAAACATATGCTTAATCCAGAGACCAGTGCTTTTATCAAGGTCAGAGGAAGTGCCCTGCTGAAATGACAGGTCAATTCTCTGGGCTGCAGTGCCACAGCCATAGCAAACTGCTTAAACGGATAGATGTGTAGACGTTATTCAGGGATGTTGTGGCCCCACATCTGTATGGGGAAAAAGATGCTCTATCATGCCATGCCTTTAACTAGATTAACGTTCGCTTAATGTGGCAATAGCAGCCCACTTATGTATTGCCTCAAATTGTTTCTAAAAGTTAATCTTATTTTAAATGACGGGGGTCTTGTCAGTTTATATCATCTGGGTCAATCCTGACCCTTTTTTAAAATCACTTTTTTAAATTTATTTTTTAATTTTTACTAGTACATGTTTACAGTGCATAGTAATTAGATTCATTGTGGGGAATTTGTACATGTATATTATGTATCTTAATTCTTTTTATTTCATTTGTAAGTCACTCATCACAACCCTCTTGCTTCAAGAGTTCTTATACAAATATGCATCATCAGAATCTTCATAGTTCAAAGAGATGATTAAAGGAATAGTTGAATTTTCATTTTTCGGTTTTATTAAGTAATGTTTTAACATGGCATAAAATCCTAGGAGAACAAGAAGGGTGTAAATGAAAAGTAAAATCCCTCCCATCTCTGGAGCATCCTAGTCCTCTTGCTGCATATCTGTCAGAGTTGCCTGTTGCTGAGTGTGTCTACATTTGTGTCTCTTAAGAATGCTCTTGCTGCAGGTTACTGAAGAGTGGGAAGTTGCTTAAACAAGGAGAATTTTTCTCACAATTTAGATCTGATAACAGTTTAATAAGCTTTTTAGACTTAGTTTCTTCTAGTTATTCCTGCTCTGTCATCATCTGCATGATGAGTTAGCACTGCTTGTGGATGGCAGGATAGCTGCTGCAGCTCCTGGAGCTGGACAGCCAGAGCCAGATATCTTCATGGTGACTTGTTACAGGCCAAGACCAGTCAGATCTGTTTGTCACCATTCACGATGAGATCGTGTTTGTTGTGCGTGGATTCACTAAAGGGCCATTGCATATTGCTGTTTCTGTTCTGGAGGCAAAGTGGCCTCACATGTTATGACGGAGTGCAGTACATCCTTCGAGAACAGCACGTGTAGAGAACACACAGGATCGAGTGCAAAAGGAAGACAGTGGCCTGGGAGATAACACTCGATACCAGAAAGAACACAGGATGAGGAGAGAAAGGGTTTTTGTTTCTATAGCAACACTTCCAAGGTATAATTGACCTATAATAAACTGCATTTTAAGAAGTTATGCAGTGTGGTAAGTTTTAACATGTAGTCCATGAAACTGTCATCCTAGTAAAGACCATGAGCTAACTCTTCAGCCCCAAAAGTTGTCTCATGTCCTTTTGTAAAACCTTAACCCCTTCCTGACCTCTGTTAGTTTTTCATTTAAATTAGTTTGTGATTTCTAGAGTTATATAAGTGAAACTGTATATTACACACTTTTTGATTTTTTTCATTCTACATAATTACTTTGAGAACTATAATGAATGATGTATTCATAGCTCATTTCTTTTTATTGGTGAGTAGTAAGTATTCCATCAAATGGGTGTACTACAGTTTGCGTGTTTATTTTCCTATTACTGGACATTTGGGTTGTTTCTAGATTTGGCTGTGAATCACTTGAAGATAAACCATGACAGACCCTAAAGCAATCGCTAAAACAAGCTAGGAGCTAATGTTAACAAACCAGAAAGGAAATCATTAAAAAATCATCAAATCATTAAAAAATTATCAAATCATTAAAAAATGCCAAATGAAGGCAGAAAAACACAACAGTGGGCAACTGGGACAAACAGAAGGAACAGCAAGACAATAGAACTAATCCTGAATAACTGTAAAGTAAACAGTCCCATGCCCTCATTCAGAGGCAGCAGGGCTGGCTGGACCTGTAGCTCAGTGGTAGAACACTTGGGCAAGGTCTCCTGGGTTCAGCACACATGTATGCGGATGGATGGTTGGGTGGGTGGAAAGAAGGAAGGAAGGAAGGAATACAATATGGCAGAGATTGTCCTGTTGGAAAAACAAGACCTAACTTATGCATATATAAGAAACAAAAGAATAAAAAACGTTAAAAGTGAAAAAAAATCAGTGCTAATTTTTTAAAAACTAGAACATCCATGTTAAACTCATAGTTGATTTCAAAGAAAAAGAATAAAGTCATATAATAATAAAGGAGTTGATTTATTCAGAGAACAGCTAATCTTAAATGTGTACATATACCTAATGACAGCTTCAGTGGAGCAGAAACTAATAGAACTAAAGTGGAGAATCCACATTTACGGGCAAATAGTTTAATACTCTCTCACAGTAACTGGTGAAAGAGGCAGGGATTATAAGGAAATAGAATACTTAAACAGCACTGTCCACTGGTTTATCCTTCTTGTGCATTTATAAAACACTGTACCCAACAACAACAGAAGACACTTTCATTTAGGTTTATGAAATATTTACCATGTTCAGCTCTTAAAGTGAATCTCAATAAATTCTAAAGGGTTCAGGCCATTTTCTAGGAATGGAATTAGAATCAGTAGCAAAAAGATCTCTGGCAAATCTCCAAATATTTAGAAATTTGAGTAACACATGGGTTAGAAAAAGAAATCACAGTATGTATTTTGAATTGAAAGAAAATGAAAATAGTGTATCCAAAATACACAGTATGTATTTTGAATTGAAAGAAAATGAAAATGGTATATCCAGATTTGAGAAATGCAGCTAAATCAGTACTTAGAGAATTGTTTCTAGCACTAACTGAATATATTAGAAAGGAAGAAAATCAATAGCTTTAGCTTGTACATTAAGAAACCAGAGAAAGCCGAGTGCGGTGGCACACCTGTGGTGGCACACCTGTAATCGCAGCACTCTGGAGGCTGAGGCCGGAGCTTTGCCAAGAGTTCGAGGACACCCTGCGCTACATAATGAGTTCAAGGCCGGCCTGAATTAGAAGCAAAAGACTAGATTAGGGGGCTGGGGATTTAGCTCAGCGGCAAAGCGCCTGCCTGGCAAGCGCAAGGTCGCGAGTTCGGTTCCCGGTACCGGAGAAAAACCAAAAAAAAAAAGACTAGGTTAAACTCAAGCAGAAATAAGTAATATAAAGATTCTAGTATAATTCAGTGAAATACAAAATAGAAAAACAGTAGAGGAGATTAATAAATCCAGACATTATTATAAAAATAAATCTAGACATTGATCTTGGAGAAGATCAATAAAAATGTTAAATTTTTAGCCAGAATGGTCAGGAAAAAAAGAAGATACAGATTATTGGCATCAAGAATGAGAGGTGACATCATTGTAGATTCTGGACATTAGATTTAAAAAGTAGGGAATATTATGAACAGCTCTATGCCAGTGAACCTGACAACCTAAATGGTCTTTGAAAGACAAAACTACAAAAATCCAAGCAAGAGAAAGATAACCTGAATAGACTTATATCTAGTAAAGAAGTTGCAATTTTAATTTAGAACATTCCATTACACACACACAAAAATTTCAAGCTAAGCATGGTGGCACACACTATAATCCCAGCACTTGAGAGGCTGAGGCAGGGGGGTCACTGCAAGTTTGAGGCCAGCCTGGGCTAGTGAGTTCAAGGCCAACTTGGACATACATAGTGAGACCCTGTCTCAAAAAAATAAATTTCAGGCCCTAGCATCACTGATGAATTCTCCCAGGCATTTCTCGAAGAAATTTTACCAGTGCTATAAAAAGTCTCCAAGAAAATTGAAAAGAAATTGTTAACCATCCATCCAGTTGTATGAGACACAGGGTAGCTGGGTACCAAAACTTGACATTGTATTACAAGAGAAGAAAACCAGCTAACAGTTCTCATGAACATGTAGGCAGAACTCTCTGATAATACGTCATGACCAAGGTCTAGTCTGAGAGGACAAAATTGCTTTAACCTCTTAAGATCTGTTAATGAGCATGTGACCAAATCCAGTATCCATTCATAATAAAAACTCAGCAAACTAGGAAAGGAATTTCTTCAGTCTGATTAAAGCATGTATAAAAACTGCAGTTAATATCACATTTAATAGTAAAAACTATCACTACCTCTTAAGATCAGGAACAAGAAAAGGATATCTTTTCACATAGTTTCTTTCCAGTATTGTACAGGATTTCTAACTAGTGCAATAAGTAAAGAAAAAGAAAAAACAACTAGACTACAAGTAAACTATTCTCAGATGTGGCTGTTGGTACAGGAAATTTGCTGGAATATACAAAGAGACTGAAGTACATTTAGCAACATACAGTATAAAATCAATATGATTATATCTCTGCCTACTGAAACCACAGTTGGAATAGAAATTACTAAACACTATTAAGAATAGCATCAAAAATGCTAAGGATATAAGGATAAGTTCTGCAAAAGAGGTACAAGACCTGTACACTAAAGTCCATAAAACAGAAGTTTTAGCTTGCAGTGTTGATTTTCTAGAGAAGCTAAAAACGTGCTAAATGTTGATAAGTTGGAAGATTTGATATTATTAAAATCTCCCAGACTGATCTCTAGAGTTGGCAGAGTCCCCAACAGAACCTTAAAGGAGGCTTTTTGGGGTAGCTATTAACACATTGTGACTAAATTCACATGAAAATATAAAGGACCTAGAATAGTGAAAATGACTTTTCATAAAGAACAAAATTGGAGGACTAGCTGCTTGAATCCAGATACAGAGTAAATTGAGTCAAGATAAAGAATTGGTCAGTGGGACAGAACAGAGAACTCATGAATAGGCTGACTTCTGTAAATGTCTGATTTTTAATAGTGGTTTAAAGGTGAGTAAATGGAAAAAGTCTATTTCAACAAGTTGTGCAAATCTGATAAAAACTTGTTCATAAATGAAATTTCTATACAACTTTTTTTTTTAAAGCCCCATTTCTAAAGTACTCTATAAATGTGGGAAGATAATTAAGATATGGGATAGCAAAATAAGCACACGAAGAAATGACTGACATCTTTGCCCATTAGGGAAATGCAGATTACCCCCACAATGAGACCCAGTGTGCACCTGTAGAGGCAGTTTTCAGAATGGTGGTCTCTAGGTGGAGCCCAGGTTAGGGCGTCATTGCTGGTTTAACAGGTTTGGAGCACATACTAAAAGTCTTCCCGTGTCCTGACCACATTACACTCAGGGGTATGGTCCAGTGGAAGCACAGTATGATTTTGTGTTTGGGGGGTGATCTTTAGGATTTTCTGAATTTAGCTGTGGATCATAAACAGCATCAGATATCTCAGTCCCTTTTTTTCCATAGCTCTGGGAGTACAGACAGTGAAGAAAGTACAGATTCTGAAGAAGAAGATGGAGCAAAACAAGACTTGTTTGAATCCAGTAGTGCCAACACAGAAGATAAGATGGAGGTAGACCTTAATGAACGTAAGTTGCCTTGGTTTTGCAAATTAGTTGCAAGGTGTTAATACTGAGAATTCTGAAAAAGAGGCAGAATAATAACATCTAAAGTGGCTCCTGAAGGAATAGTTGAATTGAAACACACATTGTAATGTGAGTCCTTTGCAGATTGGAGTTTTGGACTAGGCTCAGGGAAAGAGCGAGTTGGGCTTTCGTGTCAAGTAAGAACATCGGCATCAGTTTGGCCAGAGCACATGGCCCTCTAGGATGGCCCCTTCTGGCTCCAAGTAGTAGTGCTGTAGTAGAAAGGGAAGGACTAGATGCAGAAAAGAGGAAATAATTGTGTTTGGTGGAATCATGAATAGAACAAACCAGAAGAAGCAACTTAAAGCCTAAGCAGTTTTTACATAGATTCTTCATAATTTACTTAGAGAAGTTATAACCCTAAAATTTATTCAGCTAAGGGCATGTTTGTGCTTTGCTGCTTGCAAAAAACACTTGAGTTCAGTGTCTTTAAAAAGAGCTCCTGACTTTTGAAAGCTTGGGAAAATATTGATGTAAAGAAGCCATTGTGGGTTGATAGGAGGCTTTCCCCAAGCCTGACCTCCTGACCTCCTGACCTCCTGACCTTGGTAGCTTTGTGTCCTCAATCTCTTTTGGGACTCTAAGCCAGACAGGACCTCAGGAGTCATCCACACAACCAACTCCACCACCGTACTCTCATGATAGATACAAATCTGGGCCTGAGAAGAGAGGGGAGCCACTGCCTGTCTTCAAGAACAGGAAGTAGACCTTTTCCTCTGCAGTGCAGTTCAAGTCAGTATACCTTTATTCAGTTCCCCTGTGCCACATGTCAGGCATGTGACTGGAAACAGTCACAGGCTACACCTGCAGGCCTCAAGGCCTGCTGGGGAAGTGAAGCTTGGCAGGGCCAGGTCCTGAGAGCAGAGTGCTGGAGGAGCTAGAGAGAGTAGTGCTCAAAGACAGCTAAGGACTAGTTAGGTTGAAAGAGAAAACAAATGCCAAGTGGGCACAGAGCACCACAACCTGTTCACTGTGGCTCAGGAATTGACTGAGATGGGTTGGGAGGAATAGGGCCAGACAGCAGGCCTGGACTTCTATTGTGAAGGTTATAGGGAAGCTCTGACGACTATTTGGCAGACTCTTGGTAACCCTGCTGGAGACAGGAAAACTGGAGACACTGTTGCAGAAGAAATACAAGGGCCAAGAGGGTAGCTCCTGGCAGCAGGGAGACAGAAACAGAACACGGGGCAGATGGGCCTTCATTTTTGGCTCCAGAATCTGTGGGGCTGGTTTTTTCCTTTAGGGCCCAATTCAGTAGCATTAGGTGTATTCACATTATGCAGCAGACGGCTAGAACTTTCTGGTCTAACCAAACTGAAACTCAGTACCCACTGAACTACTTCCAATTGCCCCTGCCTTGGCCCCTGGCATCTACCATCCTACCAATGCTGTGAAGTTGACTGCTTAGGTACTGCATGTAAGTGGAATTACACACATTTGTGACTGGCTTATTTCACTTAGCACAGTATCCCTCAGGTTCATTCATGTTGTAGCGTGTGTTGGATTTCTTCCTCTTTCAGGACTAAAGAATGTTTCAGAACTCTGATTCTTTGAGGGCACTGAGTTTATGATAAATGTGTTAGAGGGAGACCACAAGAAGCTGTGACTCTGCATACCACTGCTGCTGGGACTTTGGAAGTAGAGATAGAGAGGAGGGGAAGGCCCTGAAAGATGGCTACGTTTATCCTGCTTGCCTGCTACTTGGGAAAAGCTTATTTTCATTCTCAGATCTCCACAGCACATGGGTGGGGTGACTAGAAGATAAACCCCTACGTCCCCACCAGCTTTTGGTGTCTTTCATGTTTTTGAGGACTTACTACAGCAGTTTCTCATGTTACACTGACTTTGGGGCACTATCTGGGAAGGCCTATGCCAGGGTGATAGCAGTGGTGAAGTCCTGTTTGTGCCACCTGATTGAGTTATAAAGTAGAACTCTGATTCCAGAATGTTGCATGTGGTGAGCGGACACAGGCACCTGCCAGGTTCACTTTGGTGAGGTTTCAGGTGGAAATGTTCAGTGTTATTCTTTCTTGCTGTCCATGGAGCTCCTCCTCACTAACACATGACACACAGAGCAAATCCTCACTGAGGCTTTAGCTGTGTAGACAGTCTGTATCTGAATTGAACAGATGGAAGAGGAGCTTGGTGAAGCTCCAAGTCATGGTAAGGTTAGTGTGTGAAATTGGAATCTTTCTGTTGGGCACAGGTACTTCTCAATTATTTGTGCCTAGGATAAACCGCCTAGGCAGTTAGCAGTTCCCTAACACTCCTTCCTTACTGCCAGAGATTCCTGATGGGCATAGAAAATGCCTGGCAGAGAGTGCTGGCTCCTACCACTTTGAGGGTTCACATAATGTGAAGGAAAGCATTGTGTGCAGATGGAGCAGAAACTTGACTGCATCTGAAGGGACACATCTGGAGGAGGGGATATCTGACAGAGACCTGCCACTTAGACCCACACTCTGCCTCTGAGGAGCAGAGACAAGGAGCACAGCCCTAAGTTCAGGACAAGGCAGCCTCTGCAATTGCAGTTAATACCAGGGAGTGGTGGGAGCACGCAATGTAACCAGCTCTCTGTTGGGAACCATCCAGGTCATTTCCAGTTGTTGCAGTATATTCTTTTTAAATAAGCTTTTATTTTGGAATAATTTAGACTTACAGAAATGTTTCAGAGATAGTATAAAAAGTTGATAGCTGTGTGTAATGGCAAATGTCTGTAATCCCAGCACTGTGGGAGGCTGAAGGAGAATGGTAAATTCAAACCCAGCCTGAGCAATTTAATGACCTGCAGAGACTTTGTCTCACAGTAAAAAACGAAAAAGGAGGGGCTGGGGATTTAGCTCAGCCACACAGCGCCTGCCTGGCAAGCGCAAGGTTGTGAGTTCGATTGCCAGTGCTGGGGAAAAAAAAAGAAAAAGAAGAAGGACTGGGGATATACCCTGAATTCCTAGTACTGCAAAAGAAAAAAAAATGTTGCCACGGTACACCCTTGGGTTAACTTCCCCCAATGCTGATACAGCCTTGGAACACTTGTCAAAACTTAGAAATTAGCATTAATGCATCTTTTTGTTTTATCTTTTGAGACAAGGTCTCACTTTGTAGTGAAACTAGGCTGGCCTCAAATGCATGCAGTTCTCTTGCCTTGGCTTCCTGAGTGCTGGGGGTTACAGGCATGAACTACCTCACCTGGCTGAAGATGTCTTTCTTACTTGTAGATTTGTGCGCTTACGTAGTATTTCTATTGGAAAAAATTCCTAGAAATGGAGTTGCTAGATGAAAGAAAACTCAGTTTTTAATGTCATGGGTATTGTTGGTTGCCCTCTAGGTGATTGTCCCCTTTCTGTTGCTACCAGTAGCCTGTTAGAAAACCCTTTCTCCACAGCTGCATTCTCTTTCTCTTTTTCTCTCTTTTTAAAATCATTGCTACTCTTAATTTTGTGCTTTTGTTTGTTTGTGAGATGGGTTGTGCCCTTGGTGGCCCTGAACTCCTGGGCTCAAGCAGTCCTTCTCTCTTGCTCAGCACCCCAAGTAACTGGGACTGTAGGCACAGGCCACCACACTCAACATAAAAATGACCTTGTGTTATGGTAAATTACTGAAACTTCCCTGAGAAATACCTCCCCTTGTTTCAGCACCCACTTGGTCAGCCAACTTTGACGTTCCAATGGAGACCACCCACGGCACTCCGTTAGACTCAGTGGGGTCTGATGTATGGAGCACAGAGGAGCCAATGCCAACTAAAGAGACGGGTTGGGCTTCCTTTTCAGAGTTCACATCATCTCTGAGGTGAGTGAATGTGTGTGGTCTACGCCTTTCCATAGGGAACTGGGAATGGTGGGTGTTAACTACCAATACAGGTTCTATACGTTAGCTATGAATTGAATGTAGTGCCTTAAACAAGATGAAAAAGCAAAATGGCAGGGTATTGACACAGCTGTGTGTCCCACAGCAGAATAGGCACCATTTTCCTTTGCTCCAGGACAAATTGGGAAAGGGAAAGTTCTTGAACAAAGTAGCCTGGGGGATTGATCCTAAGGTGTCAGCAGTATACAGTAGCAGGTGAGAGCCCCGTGGGCTTTTACAGCTCTGCCTTCAGCACAGGCTTCAGAACAGGTGTGAGCTCCTGATAGACGCCTCTGTGTGGAAGGTTGTAGAGAAATGCAAAATGTATTTTGAATTCACTAGTTAGCAGGAACTTACCTTTCACTTCTAACTAGTTTAGTATTCTAAGAGCTGTGACATGTAACTGTCAGTCTTGCGTCTGTATTCTCTGTGATAGAACTGTCTGTCGTGTCAAATTTTCCCAAAGAGTATCAGCACTCAAGAGTTGATTTCATGTCTCATTAGACCTACAGTACTTTGATTTGCTAAATATTTTATCTTCCAAAACCAAATTAATCTGTACCACCCAATTGGAAGACTTCATTGCTTTCCCTGTGGTATCATAGTATTTTTAAAAGTCACTAGCAGTGCAGAAGATAGGAAGACAAAACTTGGAAGCTGACAGTCACCATGTTACACAAACTGAGCAGAAACACATGTTAATGGTAATAACTCATCACAACACTGAGCCCTTCAAAAGTGTGAATTAGAGTTTTGAAAAATGTCTTCAGAACAGTGTGAAATATTTCATCAGCCCTGCTGCAGTGCAAGACTGTCAAGTTTCCACCTCTTGCTTTTTTCTTTTTGTGATTGGAAGATAAGAGGTTACTTGAGAAATGTTATTGAAGTGGCTTGGTTCTCTTGAGCCCCACATGCATGTGTGTGGGTGTCTAGGGTGTTGCCATGGGAGTGGCATGAAAGAGGAAGTAGAGTCACCTCCCTTAGTCACATGGTGTTTCTTTACTGTGTTCCCACGATCTCAGCAGTGGACAGCACTCAGAGGGCCAGTGCCTTCAGGCAGTTGGCTCAAGGTAAGTCAGGATTTTGGTAAAAATAGCCCTGTAGACATAGTTGCTGCTGTAGATGTATATCTCTGCTCGTCAGGCCCTGGGAGCTTGATGATTACATAGAAGACAGGTGGGCATTGGAACTCGCCTTGAACGCCCTGAGATGCCCAGCCTGTTGGCCCAGGTTTAGAAAGAGCTTTGCCATCCACCCTCATCTCTACTTCTAGCTGCTGCACATAGACCCCCTGTGTCCCTGGAATCTGTGACCCAGCTGCTCCTATACAGATGACTGATGTCTCTCAATAGAAACTGAACTTATTTTCAAAGGGTTTTTGTGAATGATGGGGTAACTGTGGTCTGTTCCCCACTACTAACATCTAACTTCTCTCTTTTCTGAAGCACAAAAGATGCTTTAAGGAGTAATTCTCCAGTGGAAATGGAAACTAGCACTGAAGCCATGGACCCACTGACTCCCAGTGTTGCTGCCCTGGCAGCACAGCCGGAAGGTGAGCCAGCGTGGGCTGGTAGGGAGCAGGCTTAGGAAACCAGACCTCTCTCAAGCATAGGGGCTAAAAGAAGCCAGGAAACTCAGATGTTGGCTCTCGTGTCTAAAGGCACCTGGCAGGGGGGTGGCAGGTATCCTTCCTGAACCCCAGCATATTGATTCTAGGAGTAAGAAGTCCCACGTTATCATTACTGTTAGTATGTACATAAAGAAACTGAGGCCCAGAAAGGAGGAATGCCTTCACCCACAGTGTCCAGTGTGAATAAAAGCAGAACTAGACCTGTACTTTGCAGGCCTGCCCAGTTATCCTGTCCTCTGCTGAAGCACTTGAGTATTTCTAGGCCTGTTTCAAACTGTCACACTATTTTCTTCTCATTTTTATGAGGAGATGAAATTCTACAATCCCAGTGGGTTGTCTTATTACTCAGAATATTCATGGATGTTCCTCGCATTGGCCCTGATGGATAGAGTTTTGGGTAGCTGAGGGAGTGTTAGCAAAGGGGATATGATAGGGAATAATGATGCCTCAATTCATGAACTTAACTCATTCCGTAGTTCTGGAGAAGATTGCCAGGTTCTTGTTGGTGCAGGAAAGATGGCTGCAGTCATGTTGGTTACCCAACATAGGGTTCGCAAATAAAAACAAGATTTTGCCTAACACTTCTGTTTGTGAAACCAGATTGTTCACAAAGAAAAGTGTGAACCAAGCTACCACTGTGTATGGAGGGCAGAGTTGTATGGAGAGAACAAAGTCCTTGGGAAAAGGAAGAGGCTCTAATAGAGGCATTAGAACTGGTGATATAGAAGAATAAAATCAGTGACTCATGTTGGTTTTGTCAGTCTCAAGCATTTGAAATAGATGTTTTATTCCTCAGTGATTCAATAAGCAGCTTTGCTGATCCCCATTTTATCAACAAGAAAGTTCAGGCACAGAGTAGGTTCCTTGCCCAAGGGTTATACAGCTGGGAGGTAGTGATACTAGAGTTCAAGTCCAGGCAGTTTGACTCCAGCACAAGTTCATAAACAGCATACAGTCTGTGTGACTTCTATTATAGAGCAAAGAAAAGAAACAGTGACAAGACTAGGACCCAAGTGGAAGAAACAAGTGAATGGAGGCTAGAATGAAACTGTTTTCTCTGCCCTGTGCTGTAGAGTATGACAGCCAGGTCTCCTGGGAGAAACTTGGGTGGTAGGTGGTGCACAGAGCTAGGAAGGCTGTAGAGGACTTGCCAGTCCTCTAATGAAGAAAACTCTTGAAGAATCACCCTAGTGGACATTTTTAAGAAGGCAGTGCCTATCAGGTATTGGCCAGGAGAAGCATGGTGGTACACACCTGTAATCCCAGCACTCTAGGAGACAAAGGCAGGAGGATTGCAAGTTCAAGCCCAGCCTATTAGTGATTTAGTGAGACCTCTCTCCAAAATGGATGGATGGTTGAGGATGTATCTCAATGAAAAAGCCCTGGATTCAGCGCCTGGTACTGGCGGGAGGTACATGAATGAATCTAGCCAGAAAGCAACAGGCAGTCTCACACTTGCTTTCTTTAAGCAATTGATGTAATGTGGGTGAAGGGCACTGCGCAGAAGTGGGTGGCAGTTCCTCTTTGAATTGTGTGACCATCGGCTGTGCGCTCTTTCAGCACCAGGCAGTGTGGCCATGGAAGCCAGCTTCGATGGAGAGGAGGATGCAGAAAGTACAGACAAGGTAACTGAGACAGTGATGAATGGCGGCATGAAGGAAACGCTCAGCCTCACTGTAGATGCCAAGACAGAGACTGCAGTCTTTAAAAGGTAACCAGGGATAGATCTTCCTGCATCTTCAGGCTGTCGGGAGCATGGTGGGGAAAAACCTCAAACATGAAAATTTGTAGTTTGATTGAAAGGGGTATTCAGACACGAGCTCAACATCTTTTTAACATTACCATAAATGCAGTAAATTTTAACTAAGAGATGGAGAGCTTAGGCGCCCAAAGTGTATTTTTCCCGTATGCTTGTGTGTTCAAAAGACTTTGAGTCTAGCCAGTTGACAGAAAGATGAGAACAGACACATCTTTACTCACAGTAAAAACTGACTTGTATCAAAGAAGCATGAAAATCAAGAGGCCCAGTATCATACACATGCATCATTATCTCCAGACATAATGCTGTCATTGTAACTCAGTAGCAAAATGATAGCTTTAAAAAATCAAACGTATTATTTGGAAGTTAGCAACCTCACTTTTAAACTTGTGGGTCAGAAAAGTGATTGTAAAAGAAGTCTAAATTTAAAATTGAAGAAAGAGTGAAAAAATTTCAATCAAAACTTATGGACTACAACTAAACCAATGCTTAGAGCTATAGTCCTTCTGTTACAGAGCTTTCAGAAATCACAGATGGAATGCTTTGCACCCTGTGATAAGGTCCCCACAAAACAAAGCTCCATGAGAGAAGAAAAGTATGGGGTAAGATCATCTCTGGGCATATATAATTGAATAAAACTTCATTTAAGAGCTAGCAAACCAAACGCAGAGATGTAGTTTTAAGTCGTGACCACGACTATATACACAGTGTGACACATAGTAATTACTCTTAATAGTGGAACATTAGAAATTTTCCTTTATAGACAAGAATCAGACAGTGGGACCTATTGTTACTGCTTTTCTTCAGCGTTGTGCTGATGTCTTAGCAAACACAGCAAAAAGATGTAGAAAAGTGAAATTGTCATTGTTTATAAACTGATTTTTACATAGAAAATTCCAGTTGAATCTATAAGCAAGCATTGGAATTAACAGGGAAATTTAGCATGTTTAGTGAATGCGTAGAAAAGTCACTTTTTCTATAAGGTGTTCTATATGTGCCTGTGTGTTTTTATAATAAAAATGTTAAAACTTGTCTGTAAGAATATGACCTTTGAGAGAAAAGATTTTAAAACCTTACTGAAAGACATAGTGAAGACCTAAACATAAATGTGGAGATTTGCCATGTTATTAGTGGACCGATAACCTTTGGCATATCTCAACAAATTACACTATGAAATTAATGAAATTCCTATTAAAATCCCAAGTGAATGTTTCATGGCAACTGATCATAAGGAAGACCAAACAGCCAAGATCATTTTGAAGAAAAAAGTAAGGGCTTCCCCATACATACTTGGCCATCAAGATTTATTAGTAAGCTATTATCATGGAGATGATTTGGGCCGGCCAGGAGTTATACCACATCCCCTCCCCTGTATGACCTCAGCACATGGTAGAATGGTGTACAGTTCAGTGAGGACACATGGACTTCTGAATAATGATTATCCATGTGGGAGAAAAATATGATTAGATCTCTTACTTGAAAATAAATACAATAGCTATAGTCACACAACTTTCAGAAAATAGCGTAAGAGAAAATCTTTACTATTTGGCAGGGGAGGCATTTTTTTAGCCACTAAAAAGCCAAACCAGTGGAAAATTAATTCCTAATATTACAAAAGACACACAAAAGGAAAAGCAAGCCACAACCAACAAAGAATTAGTGACCAGTACGTAAGATGAACCTGGTATCAGTAAGAAAGAGATAATTTTTTAAAGGTCGACAAAGGGTACAAACACCACCTATCTGTGAGGGAAACAAGGAGCAAGCCAAATTACAGTAGCTTAGCTTAGGTTTGTAGGTAAACAGGGCCAGTCAGTTATGGGAGTCGTTAAGTGCAGTGCCCATTAACTCTTGCCTTAAATTGTCGCAGAAAATAGAAGTACAAAACCTGCCCAGATTGTTTTGGTCTTGGTGTGGGTGGGTGGGTTGGCTGGTTGGTTGGTTGTTGTGTTTCATTCCAATACTGAGGATTGAGCCCAGGCCTTCACACAGAGCTACACCCCTAGCCCAGTTAGTCACTAACTTGCCTAGGCTGGCTCTAGTTGTTGGGTTTTTTTGTTTTTTATTTTTTTGAGGACAGTGAAGTTTTCATTCTAAAACCAGATAAGAATAATGACAGAAAACAGTCAACTAGCCAGGAATGGTGGCACACACCTGTAATCCCAGCACTCAGGAGGCTGAAGCAGGAAGATCACTGTGAGTTTGAGGCCAGCCCTGGCTACATAGTGAGTTCAAACCCAGCTTGAACTGCATAGTGTGACACTATCTAAAAAAAAAAAAAGATCAGTTTGTGTCAGTTACAAAGTACATGCAGAGGTCCATCTAAAATATTTACTGACGGGGCTGGGGATTTAGCTCAGCGGCAAAAGCGCCTGCCTGGCAAGCGCAAGGTCGTGAGTTCGGTTCCCGGTACCGGAGAAAAACAAAAAAAAAAATAAAATAAAATAAAAAATAAAATATTTACTGACTAAATCCAGTGTCATTCTAATCTTCGTATAGTCAGCTGAAAGAACATTTTTCGATAAAGTTCCATAATTTTGTACAATGAAAGCTGAGCAAATCACTAAGAGAAATGAATGCTTAACTAGGTAAAAACTAAATGCCGAAATAGTATAGCAGAAATGATTCTTACTGAAAAAATTCTAGGGGCATCACTTCTAGTGACAGCCCTAAGTGAGGCCGCCTGTGGTCACTGCCCACAATCTGTGGGCAGCTCTGGGAAGAAAAGGAAGCGCTGTGGGTACAGGTCAGGAGAGAAACACCAAGCCTTATTATTTGCATGTAGCAATGATCAGTTGCAACAAAGTCACTAACAAACTTTGTAATTAAAAAGAATTCAGGGGTGCTGGGGATATAGCTCAGTGTCATAAGCGCCTGCCTGGCAAGTACAAGGTCATGAGTTTGATCCCCAGTACCTCAAAATAAAAAATAATAAATAAATAAATAAATGAAAGAATTCAGCCACTGCTGTTGAGATCCGTTTTAAAAATAACTTTTCTCTACATCACTGTTAAGCAACTAAAATATATAATACAAAGCGGAGTACCATTCACAAAACATATTAGTCTGTAAGTTTAGGAGAGAGAACTTGAAGGTGACCTGGGTAGGTGGGCGTCAACACTGTAATTTGACTGTGCTGCAAAACATCCGCCGCCATCAGCTTGACCTTGAATTTGAATGCAGTCCTAATGAAAGCTTCAGTGGAATTTTTAGAAAAAACCTGGCAAACACACTATAACTGTGTGGAAAAATAAGGTTCTCAAATTGATTCGATAACCAGAAGGGACAGTTTAAGTAAGAGACCTACCCTGCCAGACATTCAATCATGCTAAAAATCGTAATCATTAAAACGGCGTGGTGTTGGTGTGCACACAGAGCAAGGGGCCTGTGTTGTAAGAGAAATTTTAAAAGGGGAAGAAGGCTCAACTAGAAAAAAGTAAAGCCACGTCCTTCCTCCACATCCTAAAGCAAATCCAGGAGGACTAAGGAGATAAAGCAAACACATATTTCCTTCATGCTAGGCTGTCTCCACGCCCGTGTGTGTTAACTCATTTCTCTTGGGAACTGTGTGAGGTGAACCTATGAGGATCACCCCCACTGTCCAGGTGTGAAACTGGGACACTAGAGTTAGGTGATGTGGCCAAAGTCTCATGATAGTCAATAAAAGAAAATTTAAACTATAAGGCAGATAATTGAATTACAGTAAAATGAACATCTGAGTTGTAAACTTTCCCAGCTAGGAACTGTGTTCGCAGTGCAAACACTCGTAGGTGGAAACAGGTCGCAGAGGTAGCTCACACGTCTGCCGGATGTTGTCACAGTTGTGCTGCTGTGTGTTACTGTACAGTGTGAGAGTGCACAGTAGTGCAGGGCTCACTCAGAGCTCAGGCTGTGCAGAAGCAAGAGGAAACGCAGCGGAGGGGACTGTGAGGAAGCACAAAGCAATATACATTATATATTTGCGTCAAAAGTGTGTAAGACTCACTTTATTGGACTTACAAACAAATCCAACTTTCAAACATTCTGGAATGCAACTCATTTGTGAGTCAGTGACTTACTAAATGTTGCGGTTAAGGATTTGTGGTCAGTTGTGCTCGCTTCAGCAGCACATATACAAAAAAAATTTGTGGTCAGTGAAGTACAATGGTACCATGGTACCTCAGTTAATTTGTTCTACAATTTTGGAAGAGATGACCACATTTGTGTTTGGAGAAAATGGCCATTGTCGTCTGTCACCCAATGGAGAGTTTCCAAACAGAAATGAAATTTTGCCAAATGTTTCTGTTTACAAATCAAATTGTTTGCAAACAAAAGCATTCATGAACCAAGGTACCATGGTACTACAGATAAAACTAACAGGCAGATGGCAAATTGAGGGAAAAAATGTGTGATGCCGACATTGAATATTTAAGGAATTCAGTGGTAAGAAAAGCTAAATTAGAAAATAAGCAAAGATAATAGTTTACAAATAAACCAAAAGGCAGTTTTTAAAAATGAAGAAATACTCAGCTCATTCATCATCAGAGGGTTGTGGGAAGTGAGACACACCACTTTTCTCATTAGACTAGCAGAAATTAGAGTGGTTGGGTCATTACGCGTGGGTGCCTGGAACCCTGCTGCCTGCTAGTGGAAAGGCAGCCTGGACAGCCATTCCAGATAGTTAGGAGGGGTTCCTTGTCAGTAGAAAGATGCGGGGCTGAGAATTTAGCTCAGCGGCACAGTGCCTGCCTGGCAAGCACGAGGTCGTGAGTTCGATTCCCGGTACCGGAAAAAAAAACAAAAAAATAAAAAGTAGAAAGATCCCCAGAATTAGAAATTTCTTCTCATGAGTATAGACGCCCTCCCTGAGAAATGCCCAGATCAACCTGTTAGCCATGGACAGTGACAGTCATTGCAGCATTGGAAAGAGGCCTAGAAGTGGAGGACGGTCTAGGTTTTCACTACTGTGGTGAGCATAGCAGGTAGAACTGGCAGGTACACACCGTGGACACAGCGCCACACTCAGGAGGAGCAGATGAATGTTCCAGACATGCAGACGCAAGAGAGAAGAACCAAGAGGCATGGACTCAGTGCCAGTTACGCGACTTGGAATGTACTGCAGAGAACTGTACATTTTACCAAAGTTAAATGATAAGCACATTAGAACAGTTGATTTGAAGGGCAGGGGGCAGAAAAGGAGCAGAGGAGTGAGTTAAAAAACAAGTGATGAGGGGTAGGAATGTGGCTTAGTGCTAGAGTGTGCACATAGGTGAGACCCTGGGTTCAATCAACAGCATCACAGAAAAGAGAGTTAATGACCTAGGTAATTCAGATAGTCACTAAATCATTAAATTTTAATTCATTTTCCTAGTTAGAAATTGGAACCATCTGGAAACCACCTGAAAAATGGTCCTAAAATGAGGCAGTTCATAAGCAAATCCCGGAAAGGACTTGGCTTTAAGAATGTGGGAACTTCCCTTAGGGAACCTGTGACTGCTGCCATTTCATTGTGTTAAATGGTGACAAGTCTAAATTTTTAGTCCTGAGGAAGCAAAGAGCCTGCTGCTCTCTTTCTCCCAAGAGCCACCGGAAGGGGAAACTAATCCTCTTGTGTCCTCTTCTCTGAAGACCCCGTGCCCCTGAAGTCAGTTCTTGGCTCCCTCTTTCCTTAATTGTGTTCGTGCTTCACACACACTGTTGTAGGGCAGCCCGCCAAGTCTTTAAGGCTAGCTCAGACAGTGGGTTCCCATCTTCTTCTGACCAGGTTTCCCATCTGTCAGTCGGAAGGGGTTTACCCTCTGCAACTTTGTTAATGGTGGGCTTGGCCCAAGAACAAGGCTTAAACTAAAGACTCGTTCCTTCAAACAGGTTCACTTGACACCTTCACCGACTCTGCGGTTTTGCTTATGTGCAGTCGTGGACATGTTTCCCCCCCAATTCCTCATTTCTAGGAGTATTCTGAAACTCTTGTACATTTCTTTTTCTGTTTTGCACACTTGGCCTCAGAGTGTTGAAATCCTACCGGTATGTACGGTAATGCAAAGCCATTCTTTATCAGACACCAGCTACATTACATCATCCCTCTTTTGGTTCCCACCTGTGTGGCCCTTTCCTTTTGTGGTTTCCCAGTCACCCTCTGTGTCCCTGTGATCCTTCTGCCCTGAGCATGCTCAGCCCCAGGGCTTGCCTCTATGGCAGCCATGACTTCAGAGCCATTTGCATGTGATCTCATCCTCTGGCACCCAGATGTCGTACCTGGGGTATATGATTTGCCTATCATCTTCTCTCCTGCAGTGAGGAAGGAAAACTGTCTACCTCTCAAGATGCTGCTTGTAAAGAAGTAGAGGAGAGCCCTGAGCCAGCAGAGGCAAAGTCCATGGCCCCCCGGACCCCTAGCAGTAGTCCAGAGCAGAGGTAACTGCCGTGCCCTTACATCCTTCTAGGCCCTGCTCTGGCTTTGCCTGTGGTTTCCTGGGATTTGGGAGGGGAGTTGCCACCTGGGGGTGGGGTCTAGGGCTTGTTCACAGCTATGCCTAACCCTTCAGCAGTGTATTTGTCACAGTGCCATTTTCTCAGTCCTTAAAATAATCAGAAGGCTCATTGAAAACTTTGCAACACCACCGTCTCCTTATCCCAGAAGCCAGGAAGGACTGGCTGAGTCCTGAGATTGGGTACAATCATCAGCTCTTTGAAGAGCTTGAGGGAAGGGAAGTCTTACTCAAACCCACCTGCACTTTCTTGTGAGGGCTTAAGTTGAAAAGAGTTTTGAGCCCCTCCAGGAGTAGAATCCTCCATAGTCCCTGTAGAGTCTTGCAGCTACCAGGCACAAGCAGATCTTGATGCCTCTTTTCCCGTAGTCATGCCTACATGACACAGGGAATTTGGCTGAATCCTGTTCATATATTCAGCCAGATACTCTCAGGCCTTAAATGAGTTCTTGTGTGCTTGATCTTCTTTTGATTAAGTGTGAAAATCCCACTGGCACAGCGGTGTGATTTGGAATGTGATGTTTTCTTTATAGTCACCCGTGGTCTGAAGAGATAGGCCAAGCCAAAGCCCCAGCTGTGGAGCACCAGTGCGCCGGCCCGTGCACATGGCCTCGCGGGTGGAGCCAAAGCTCACACGGGAAGATGAATGAGGAACTTTGTTCAGCACCTCCCCAAGTTAATTTTTTTGATACCGGAGATTGTGTATTCCTTCTGTAAGGAATAAAGTGACCTTTAAAGCAGTTTCAGAAAAGTTGTACTTTTCCCCCTGGTCTGACTTACCCTGAAGTCTTTTGGACACTCCAGAGAACACAACCAGCAAGTACCAGCAGGGGGCCCTCTCCATTAGCTGGTTGGAAAACCTGTATTCATGGCTTAGCAAGCCCAGTTTTTGTTCCTCTCATAGAAATTCTAGCCAGAAAGAAAAGCTTTTGTGATGCTTTAAAAAAGTGTGTATAAAATTAATAGTAAGAATGATGTGAGCATGTTGGCTCTAGTGAAGGCTTTGGGAAGAAAAGGCAAGGTGTCTTTGGGCATTGAGGGAGCAGTCCCAGCCCCAGGTGCTCCAAAGGGCTGGGCCAAGTCTCTCATCTGGGGTTTTCAGTGCATACTTTTAAGATGGTCTTTTGAGCTGGGAATGGTGGCGCACACCTGTAATCCCAGCACTCGAGAGGTTGAGGCAAGAGGATCACCAGGGGTTTGAGGCCAGCTTGTATTTCAAATGGAGACCCTGTCTTACAAGATGGTCTTTTGTTAGATCTCGTTCCCAGTTATGTCACCTCCCCAATTTCTACCCGTCCAGTTTCATTCATACTGAGGGCTGCATACAAGGCACGATCCTGCAGGTCTGTCCCGGTTTGGAATAGTGGCTGCTGGAGTTCCTTCTTGGTTTCCCATAAATGTTAGAGAAGAGAGTGGGTTGTTTTCTGGTTCTCTGCACTGCAGAAATTAGCCTGAGGGGAGCCCACTTGCCTTTCTCTCTGACTAGAAGCACATGACATGCAGAGCTCTGCCCTTCATGGGGCTGAGGTGGTGGAGGAGGCATTGGGGTGAGGCATGAAATAGGAGGGGTACCACTTGCATCCCTGCATTCATCCACCCATCCTTCCGTCCAGCATACATCACAGTGGCAGTCACTGGTGGCTACTGGCAGAGCAGCAGACGGACCACTCATAACTTAAGGCATATGTTGGGGAGGAAGCTGTAAGGCTAGAATGGGAATGAGGTAAAGAGTCCGTGTTAGGTAGAGTGGGGAGGCCTCTGAGTGGCATCAAGCTGGAATTAAGGAAGGCACAAGTAAGCCCAGTGTCTCGATGCCTCACAGTGGAGGGGAGCGGTACTGTGGCAGTGTGAAGACCACAGCTGCTTCAAGTGGCTCCTTGCCACAGCCTGATAGTACTGTGGTCCTTTAGAAGCCAGGAGTGCTGCCTGCTCTGAGCTTGGAGATGCGCATTGCCCAGATCCTGCTTCGCTGCTGTTTATCAGGCCTGCTCTCTGTACCAGCCAACACTTTGGATTGTCCTGTACATCCACCCTGTAGGGTGGGAGGTTAGTGTCCCCCTTTTACAGGGATGAAAAACAAACTGAGAAAGATTAAGAAATTTGCTTAAGAGCACACAGCCAAACATACGTATTCTGCAAAGGCAGGATACATACGTTGGGCTCCAGAACACTGTTCCCATGCCTGTGACATCATCACACGTAAGCAGAGCTGACGTATGTGGAGCTGACTTTGGCTTCACTGCTGTAACTTGCAGGTACCAGGAACTGAAAGCATTCTAATAACAAAGTTTAGAGTGCTAAGTAAAAAGTACTTGTGCTGGGTCTTGTGATCTGGGTACTCTGGGAGATTGAGGCAGGAAAATTGCGTTTGAGCCTGTTCTGGGCAACTTTGTGACTTAGTGAGCTCCTGTCCTAAATAAAAAATTAAAAAGGGCCGGCAGTGTAAGTCAGTGGAAAGACTCTGGGTTCAATTCCCAGTACTGGCAAAAATAAAAAGTGGTTTTATTCTTCCCAGCTACAGCTCTAAGCTTGCTTTTCTGCTTTATAAAACATTGCTTAAAGGCTTTATGAATATCACACACTCATTGTGATTTTGGCAAGAATGCAGCACTTGTTCGTTGGTATACTGTTCCGCCTTTTTTTTTGTCTCCCAGTTTTTAGCCTGATGTTTGTTTTGCAAGAGGCCTTGTTCATATAGACTTTGTTTGTAATAGTTTGTCGTATTTACAAGAAAAGTTTCCTTTCATTTTCCTTTCCTGATAACAAACCCCTGCGTTTTGAGAGACATTCTGCTTGTATTCTGTTCTGTGGGACAGAAAAAAGCTTCTCGGAGGAGGGCTGACCACATAGCTCCTGCAGGCTCTGGGAGCAACAGTGTGGAAACCACTGACCTCTCGAGTGGTCCTTGGACCTCAGGGAGGGTGACTTCCACAGGGCATCTGCGCTCTGCTCTGCAGCTCTTGCTAACAAGCGCTCCCTGCCCTTGGGCTAAACGAAGTTCAGTCTCTTCCTCCGGTTTCTGCCTCAAGTGCTTCAGATGTCTGTCTCTTACTCCTAGGACTGACCAGCCAAGTGTGCCAGGTGACACGTCAGTTAATGGCCCTGTATGATGAGTGACGTCTGCTGCTGCTGACCGAAGACTGCAGACCGCCACCAGCCAGGGCTCTGGAGGGCCATCTGGAGCCACCAAGCTGTCACTGCTGCACTCACTCTGCAAGGGATCAGGACCAGCAACCTTTATATTCTAGATTCTAAGACATTGTACAGAGAAATTCAGAAGTGTAAAAATATTGCACATTGACAAATACCAAGAATTTTTGCGTATGTTTATATTGTATTGTTCTAAATAATGGGTAGCCTGTGAAATAAGATCTTGCCGCCCATGTAATAATAGTAGTAATACTGTAGGTAAAACGGCTGTAAGAATAGTTTTATAAAAGTGAATACACAGATCTATTGTATTTGAAACATAACTATTTGACAATTATTAGTGTGACCAAAGTATTAGGCAGTTTTCATACATTTTTCACCTTGTACAAAATTCTGAATTCATTTTTCTTCCAGGTTGGCAAGGAGTTGTAGAATTGAAATGCCCTCTAAGTGTTATTTTGGTTGTTCTAACTTACAAAAGTGATTTTGAATAAGAAATATTTGGTGTTCTTTTTATAACCAGTTTTTGATTGGTAATTGTTTCCTGTATTGTTTAAAACGAATCAAAATGTAAGTCTATTGGTAGAGATTAAGTATTTATTGCTACAACTTAGTTGATAAATTGATGTTAATGTAAAGCCATATGTTCTGTTAAAGTCTTGTTTGCTTGAAATGATTCTTCCTACAGGTGAAACACTAGAATATTTGGAGTGTACATGACTGTGGTTTGGGGTTTTGGGGGGGGGTTGTTTTTGTTTTTTGTTTTGTTTGGTAGTTCATCTGCCTTTTAACCCATTCACCAAAATTTACCTTGTTAACAAGCATCACCAATGACCGTATCAGAGCAGTCTGCGTATTTAACATACCTAAATCATATTAGGCAAGTCAGTTGAAAAATGCTCGTGCTGCTAATGGAATTAGAGTGCGTTCATTTTACAGTCTAGTATTTTAAAAGTAGAAATCAAAATCTGGCACCTAAGCATGTTACTTGTTTTACTGTACCTTGTGAGGTTTTCACTCGTAAATTCTAAACCAGTGTATCTTTTTTAGAACTGGTTTGTGTATATATATAGTGATTATGGATACTAATTCAATGTAATTTATAATTTTGTATGTCAATATAAAAATACATCACAGCCTTCTCCAACAGCTGAAGCAATATATTGTATATTGCCATATCGTCTGGTGAAAGGGTTAAATCACTTCACCTCTTGCACTTTTAGATGCAAATCAGTTTTTCATTTCTGTAATAGAAGATTATTCACGTATTTTTACATCATTTGTTTTTCCTGACCAGTATTTAAAACCAAAAGGATATTCTGAAAAATGGCCAACGAATTTTTTAGAAACAGCATCCCAAGCAGCGTGCCTAAACATTACATTGCATATGGAAATAAAAGAATCAAATGTCTGATGCCTTATTCCTTATTTACTTTTCATTTAGATAGTGTAGAAACTTCCTGCAGCTCCAAAGGTGTACCTAGCACCTCGAGGACAGGGGTAGCAGGAAGCCCTGGACTGGTGGTGAGCCGGCTGGTATGGCCCGCGCCCCTCCTCAGGACCCTCTTCTCTTGGGAGCTCCTCTCAGAAGACACGACCCTCATGCGTTCTCTGGAACGTGGCACCACCAGAGAGTAGGGCTCCTCTGCTTGTCTCAGGGACCCCTGACGCCTGTGGCTGGGGCCGCAGGGTTGCTGATGGATGGTGCACTGCTGTCTCACCTGGTGGCGAGCTTTGGAGCTGTGGCCAGAGTTTGGCCCTGGAGCGGTGTGTGCCGCCTCCGGGGTTTAGATTTGACTTCTCCATCCCACCCAGGGTAACACGGTGTTTTACTTCATCCCGCCTACTGCTAGGGAAAGAGCTCTTGGGGTTTTCCTTTGGGCTAGGATTATGGTTTGCTGCTCATAGGTGGTGGGGAAGAAAAAGGACCGGCCTGTGGGGGTTAGAGGGCACCAGCTTGGGGACAGCAGCGATGTCACTCTGCTCTACCTAGTTCCTACTTTTTAATTTCTGTGTATTGGCCATATGAATGCAAGACTAACAGATGTCTACAATACCTGTATCTAAAATAAAAAATAAAGCCTGATTCTTTGTTTCTAGACATTTCCTCTTGTATCTTGTGTGGCCTTTAATAACCAGACAGGGTGTGGGGCTGCCACAGTGACCCTCTGCCATTCCTAAACTACCGTACATGCCAGCTCGTGAGGGAGGAGGCAGAGCTGTGCTGGAAGCGTGGCAGCTGTAGGGTTTAGCTCATCCACCCGCTGCTGTGGCCCGCACCTGAAACAGGTGCGCGGTGCGTTCCCACTGAGAAGGAGCCTGCTATCGGTTCCCGTCCTTGAGACGCTGTCCCGCTGCGCTGGCGTGTTACCTTCTCCACGTGTCACGCTCCCTGACCCCCGTTCTTCAGCTCTCAACCCAGCGACTGCCGCTGTGTTGGTAAAATTTCTCAGGTGTTCCGTCATGATTGTTAAAATGTGATGCTGTGTTACTCGTTTTTCACCCTCCCTCTACTTGGTTATATAAAAAAGGGGCCCCCTTCCAGGGTTCTTACCTTCACCAGGACCTCTGCACTGCATCCCTCTGGGCACTGCACACATGGACTTGGTAGGTCATGGACGGTGCACACCTGGTCAGGGCCACAGGCTTGAGCTGGCTGTGTTCACAACATGCACAGAACGGGGACCTAAGCAGGTTAGCTTCTGCTCAGCTGTTTTCTGTCAGATGGGAAAGACCACACTAGTGAGGTTATAGACTCTAAATAGTCCTGGCTAAGTGTGATGAAAGTTACCTTTCTACTCACTCCTTAACCCTAAAATGTCACCTGATAACCTTCCTGAGTACATACTTTCACGTGCAGTTTTATTCAAAACTTCCACCTCCAGAAAAAACAAATATCTTCAGTCAGATTTAATTGTCCTGCTTCAGGAGTCAGGTCATGTGCCAGATCTGTCCCATCTCTGCAAGTAAAACTGGATGAATGTGTGGAAAGAAAGGAACTTTGATTCTTACTGTAGACAACCATGGTAAAAATTTTATCCAAAATAACTAGATATAAACAGGCACTTAATGAAGCTTCTACTAGAAAAACGTTAATCTTCAGAAGGGAAAGATTGCTTAGAGCATGACAAACCATAGAAGAGAGAAATCGGGCTTCCACCAAAGTGAAGATTTCTCTGCTCTTCAAAATAAAGAGGCAGGCTGTGGATCGCTGGGGGGAAAGCCTGTGTCCTGACAGGGCTCATCTGGAATATAGAAAACTGCAATCAAAAATGAAAAACCCAATTAAAAGGACAAGGGATTTAAAACGTACCCACGAAGATACGTGAGTGGTCAGCAAGAACAAGCGAAGTTGTTCATCACTAGTGTCTGAAGATAAAATTTTGTTACAGTTGAAAACATGCTATCCCTGCCCAAGCCACGAGCATTAGAAAGACTGACAGTTCACATACTGAGAACATGGAGTCACTGGGACTTCTGTATTGCTGCCTAAAATGACACATCCAATTTTGAAAACTGTTGGTAAAGTATTTCGTTTTTTCAGTTTAAATAAGGCATACTCGCTCCTTCCTCACGACTCAGTAATCCCGCTAGGTGCTCATTTAATGGAAATGTGTGTCCACAATAGATTTGTACAGAGATGTCTTGTCACTTTATTCATAATAAAAAATATTTAAAACTAAAAAATAGGCAGATTATAGCTTCTGGATTATACTGAAATTTGCCCGACAATAATCAGGAATGAACTATGAGTGCAGCAAATACAAATCTCAAGAACACGTTAGGTGAAAGAAGCAGCATCAGTGCATGCAATTGTCTGCACTCGAAGCTTCAGAAATGACGTTAAACTGTCTTGGTAGATGTCAAAATAACGTTTTCTCCCAGTGACTCAGTTTGCTGTTGCAACACCACAGGCTGGATGAGTTTTAAAGAAAAGTAATTTTGGCTCATGGTCCTGAGGAGGCCCAGGGCGTTAGGTGGAAAGAAACAATCCATGTGGTTTCTGATTTTCCTCTTTTAAAGCTGCCAATATTCAGTCATGGGGGCTCCAGCTTGATGATCTTTTCTTACTCTTTTTTTGTTTGTTTGTTTTGGTTTTTTTTTCCAGTACTGGGAATCAAACTCACGACGTCGCACTTGCCAGGCAAGCGCTGTGCCACTGAGCTAAATCCCCAGCCCCTTTTTCTTACTCTTAGTCACTCCTAAAAGCACCGCCTCTAAACAACCATCGTCAAATTAATTCTCCACCTGCTCAGTTTTTATACTTGGATTGAACTCCAACAAGAGTTTGGGAGAGGAAGAAGGAAAGTGTGGGTGAGGGCTGTCTTCCTTGTGGTTATGTGAGTGAACTCGACACTGAAAACTGTTCTGTTCTACGTGACATACCTTCATGTTTTAGAAGACAGAAAAGGAGAAAAACAGGAAACAGCAAACATTATTAGGGAGAACGCTGCCCACATCACATGCAGTGACCAGGGAACCCCCATTCCTCCTACGGCAGAGGAAGGACTGACAGCCCAGTGCAGTGATGGCGAATGTTTTAGAGTTTGCGATGATAGAAACGCCCACTGCAGTGTGTGTGCCGTAGGCTTGCCACCACTGGGCTAGTGGGCATGGGGCAGGTGTGTATCCCCTGGCAGTCTGTGGGTTTGCCTGCCCTGGAGGACAATGTCCCGGACTGCCCTCTTCCACCCTGAAGCCACATCCTCCACAGTAAGAGGTCTGCGCTGGTCCAGTGCTTCCAGGAACCAGCTGTATGATTGGTCATAGAAGTGACAGGACTAAGCTGGATGCAAAAGGTGCAAGCCTAAAAATGTGAATATTAATATTAGGCAAGGCCAAATCTAAAGCTAAAAGTACTATGCACAGGTAAGAAAGTATCATCAAGCTATAAACA